GTCAAAGATGCATGACAACATTTTGGCGACTGCAGTGAAAAGATTTTATTCATTTATGTTTTTATTTATTTAAGACTCCATACAAATTTACAATTTTTGTTAATATTTTGCTAACAATTTTTGGTGCCTTTCGTTAGTTCTATCCTCTTTGCCCTATGAAGTATGGCTAAGAAGTGCTCAGAAAATGTTAACGAAAACTATAACCTGCATCTGTTACGATGTTAAAATTTTCTTTATTTATTGAAAATTAACTTAACGCACACGATCGCATTCACTGTTTAGTCATTTATTTTACGCGAATTTTTTCGATTCGATCGATAAAATAACTCAATTCATGGCCGTTTACACTTTTCTTCACGTGAAACATCAAGAAGGAAGTAGAAATTATTTAAAAATGAAAATACAAAATGATAACTTTAAAAAATATTTACATACGTATATACAGACTAACATATTTACAGAGAAAAAATATACATATGTACAAAGATTATTGTATATAAAAAACTGAAATATTTACTTTATAAAAAATATATTCATTAATTAAAGTTATTAATTATTTAGTTAAAATAATTAGTTATTACGTAATACATTGTTGTTATTATTCTGACATGCTTAACTTTATTAGGTTGCACGGGCAACTCGATCTGTCAGCAAAGTGTTAATTGTTACGTAACCAACTTCTTTTTTATTAAAGTAAGTTGTTAAGTGATGCTAATTACTTTTATTGATCTTATTTTCATAAGCACATTTGAAAAAATTAAATTTTTTGTTGGTAATCATTCAATTATTGCCTAGTTATTACGTTGCCAATGGATATTTGATTGATGAAAAGTTGGATGTTAAATAATTCTCAGTTATTATTCGTATTCTTTTAAATTTTTCAATACATCAATGCTGTTTATGGTGTTTATGTTTTTGTTTATTATAATTCTAGAATTGGAATGAACACAGCATTGAACTGTCAGGAGGTGGTGCTTAAAATTTGACATGACAGACACCAACTTTATGTCAAGATTATAAAATGATTATAAAGTTGCTTCATGTCAGACGTGTCAATATTCATTTTGATGTAATATAAACAACACCAATGAAACAACAACAACAATGACAACAACGAAAACGTCAATAATAGTAGCAAAATAGATACTATTAAAAATTAATTAAATATTTAATTACTGAGAGTTATTTGAAATCGAATATGTCCAAACTTTAAAAAACGGATTACGTAACAACGATTGTATATTTACTAACAATCTTTTTAATGAGCAAGAATAATAAATTAATAAATCAAGCGACAATAAACTAACAAAAGAAACGTATATAAGCCAATTGATCACCACAATTTAATAAAGTTAAATTATCTTATTAAAACAAGATCAAAATGAAAATCACTTTATAACAATAAAGTCACGTAACAATTAACTTTGTGAAGCCTATGTTAGCAAAGTAACCAACTAAGCAATTACCGCCCAGTGTCACAAATTTTTCTTTGTTATAAACGCTATATATTGAGGATTGTTGTTCTCTATGCATAACAAATCTTAAAACTTGATCCTGTGCAGTCGCAGATTTTCATTTTATAATCTAAATGCTTAATTCGAATAAATTTTTCTAAAAATAATTTATTACTTTTTACTATTAAATTTTACGTTATTTTATAAATTAGTTTATCAACTCAAGCCCATTTTTCACACTCATTTATTTTTTTAAATTTATTTCGTACAATCTACCATCATTTTACATTTTAGCCTTACCTAGATTACACCAGAGTTTAGTAGTTATTTATGAAAGTTGAGCTATCAAATTGAAGTTATACAAAACATGATGTCCTCAAACAACAAGCCTTTTAAAATGCCCACCTCTCACGGACGACGAAATAACGGCGCCCATTCACACAAGAAAGTGAACGCTGAGAAAATGACTGGGTTGATATCAATGCCAGATTTGACACCATCGATTGGAAATTTTCCAAATATATCATCGTCGTTTTCTGTTGTTAACAAAATTAAAACGCACGGAGTTACTGGACCGATAAGTTTGGAGGTACCGAAACCAGAGGAGTTAAAATTAACTGAACAACTTGATATCCTTTTACACAACAATGATATGTATGAAACTCAGGATGAAATAATTAAAAGAATGGATGTTCTTGGAAAAGTAGTTCAGCTTGTAAATATATGGACAAAAGACATGGCTGTTGCAAAGAACATACCAAAGACATCAAATTTAGGAGCTAAGGTTTACACATTTGGATCTTACAGGTTGGGAATTAATGCTAAAGGAGCAGATATGGACATGTTGTGTGTTGTTCCTCGCCATATCAACAGAAATGATTTCTTCGACTCGTTTATGGATATTCTGAAAAAAGAGCCAGGCATAAACGACTTGAGAGGCATCGTGGATGCATTTGTGCCCGTCATTAAGATGACCTTTGATGGTATCGAAATCGACATGTTGTTTTCGAGGTTAGCACTAACAGAAGTTAAAGATACACAAAACTTGAGGGATGACAACATACTGAGGAATCTAGATCAAAAATGTGTCAGGAGCTTAAATGGCTGTAGAAATACCGATGAGATTCTGCATCTGGTTTCGAACATTGACAGTTTCAGAATAACTTTAAGAGCAATCAAATTATGGGCCAAAAAAAGAGGAATATATTCTAATGTTTTGGGATTTTTGGGTGGTGTGTCGTGGGCATTGCTGGTGGCCCGCATCTGCCAACTTTATCCTAATGCTACCCCATCTGTGCTAGTGCACAAATTTTTTTTTGTATTTTCCCAGTGGAAATGGCCACAACCGGTTTTGCTAAAAGAGTGCAAAATGTCTGAAACATTTAGTGTTTGGGATCCAAAGAAAAATCCTTCAGATCGCAGCCACCTTATGCCAATTATAACCCCGTGTTTCCCAAGCCAGAACTCCACGTACAATGTTAGTATATCAACCAGAGCCATAATTATGGATGAATTTGTTAGGGGTTTCAATTTATCTTTGAAGATTTTGAACAAAAATGATGATTGGGAAAACCTATTTAAGCCCAATGACTTCTTCGATATGTACAGACATTTCATTGTTGTAAGGGCCAGCTCTCCCACTGCAGCCACTCACCTGGAATGGTATGGACTAGTTGAATCAAAACTACGTTTCCTGGTGCAAAAACTGGAAGCTAATTCAGTAATAAAGCTGGCACACATCAACACTAAAGGATATTTACCAAAAAGTGATTCTACTGAACAGCATTGCACACAGTGGTTTATAGGTCTGACCTTTTCACAGGCTTCCGTGAATGTCGACCTAACCTACGAGACACTATGTTTCCACGAACAAATAAGATTAGCTCTTGGGCCTAAACTGAAGGAGGGAATGAACCTGGATGTGAAGTATCTTAGAAGAAAGGAGTTGATAAATTATTTGCCAGACAATGTTCTACACACAAAAAGTAAAGGAATCAAGAGAAAACATACGGATGATATGAATATATCAGATTCTTTGTCCCAATCGACATCCACCACTCCACGTGCATCACTGAAGAACAGCATTTCAGCCAGCGAGTCGCCATTACCATTAAGCAACAGTGACATAGGCGCAGCCAGGATCAGTCCACACATAACGAACGAGCAAAGGTACATGCCAGAACCTAAAAGAATGAGATGCAGTGCTAATTCCCATTCAATTGGCCAAATGCCCCAGTTATAGAGATGTTGGAGCTATCAGTCATTTTTATGACATTTTATCGATGATGATAATGATGATAATACATTAATTCACTCGTAATACTCTAATAATTTATAATATTTATAATATTCATGATAATGATTGTAGTAATAGTAGTAAAAGAAAAAGATGACTGTTTTACCATTATTCGCTCTGTACAGTCTTTTTCTTATTTATTTAATTATTACTTTTATGTTCGATTAATATTATTATTTAAAATATTATTATTTTTTGCTTATAGCTTCTTACAGCCCGACCTATGTGTATGTTTCTATTGGGGCATGTACGATGTAAATATGGATTCATGTATTTGATTGGTCAAATGGTTAGATAATTTTTTATATGCTAGCATTTCGATCATAATCAGTGAATAAACTTTTTCAAAATATACTTGTTATATACTTGTTGTCGGGCGCGTAAAACCTATTGATTTATAAATTCAAAGTCGATGATAGCGAATAAAAATTTATCTACACCCATGTTGAAGTGCTCACAAAAGCACCTCCACAAAAAACCAAGCTAATTTAATCAATCATATTTCAAAAAAAAAAAAAAAACATAAAACATAGAAAATGTAATGAAAATAATCACAAAACACCATCTTTTTTGCATAATGCCTGAATAGTTTCCTTGTTTATTTCAGCGATCAAAAAATTTCAGGTTGCATAAATTAGATCAGCCAGCGGCAATATCAGCATTAAACGAATGATTTGAATCTTTTAAACTAAAACGATATTGACACATGTAATTTCATTGAATGAGGCTTTAACATTTTGTTTCACTTGTGACCGGTAATGAAAATGAATATGAAGAGATCAGAAAATATTTTGGCAAAGTTTAAAGATAAATGAATTGCAATAGATTTTTGAATCACCTTCTGTTAGGTTTATTTTTATTCCAGTTTGTGATATTGATAACATTTAATTCCATAGTAAACTTTAGTTTATAATCTTCACTGCTTCAAAGACTATTCAAAATTTATTATACCGATAATTATACAATAACCTAAATAAGTCGTTAAATTTCGATAAAAATTCAACCTTTTTTTGAAAAACAGTAACATTTTCTTAAAATTCAAACCCGGACGCGGCATCAACAATGTCTATTCAACATATTTTTCATTGAGTTAAACAGTGTATATTTTATTCATTGAGTTAAACAATATTATAAATTTTTATTATCAATGTATTATTATTATTATCAATTTATATCGCATCCTATGCATAGCTTCAGGGACGCTTGGATAAGCCATCTGTAATCGTTTCCTAAAAAGTTTGATGTTAGGCTGTTGACAAATAATTGCAGGCAAACCATTCCATAAGGAAAGAGATTTGTAAAACGTACAATATAAGTTGAGGAAGATATGATTGTTGAGATGTATTAAGTAACTTGTATTGAGAAGGGAAATATAATGCGTTTACGTACCGGTAACCAATGTACGATAGTTGAATGAGTGAATCTGCGCTGGTAGATAAATTACTGATATTTATAAAAACTTTTGCAACTCTATTTTGAGCTCTTTGAAGTGAAGTTAAACGGTCGGATGGAAGTCCGTAGAGAAGAGAATTACAATAATCAATACATGATAGTACAAAACATCGATCCTGTGCAAAATCACTTGCAACACACACACGCGATGTACACACAACACACATGTTAGTTGAGCATAATTTTATTTTCATAACACATTATTTAAATTTATTATTTACTAAGGCTGAAAATAATTTAATACAATAGGTAGTTGAGCGCAATAATTCTGCAAAACAAAATTATTATCACAAAGGGTTTTATTTAAACAAATCAAATATAAAAAACCTGGCAATTAATTAAATCAACATTGAATCCAAATAATAAGAAATCTAAATAAATTATTAAAGATGAATAATCTAATAAATTGATTACACACGAGAACGTAATCTGCGAAAAATTTAATGGTTTCTTCTCTGATACAGTAAAAGAGTTCTCAGTGAACAATTCATCAAATAATAATTCATTCGCAAAATATCTGGGTGATTTCCAGACAGATTCATTCTTTTTAACAGAAACAAAGGAAATTGAAATTTACAGTAATATTAAAAACTTCAAAAATTCCAAAAGTTCGGGTAAAGATAATATTTCCAATTTCATTCTTTAAAAAATTAGGCCACACACTTTTGAAACCATTAAAACATTTAATTAACTTGTCTTTGTCATTTAATCTAGTTTTTGGTCCTATAATATCTACTAATTTATTGCATTTCAAAATATCTATTAATGATAATCTAATCGAAAAAACAGAAACAATAAAATTTTTAGGAGTGGCTATCAAATCTGACCTTTCATGGGAAAAGCATATTAGCAATACTCCTCAAAAAATTTCTAAAATAATTGGTGTATTCAGCAAATTAAAATCTATTTACCCGTTTCATATTATTATAATATTGTATTATTCGTTAATTTATCCATATCTAATATATTGTTTGCCTATCTGGGGCAATAGTCCTATTTGTTATTTAGCATTATTATTAAAATGTCAAAGATATTTTTTAAGAATTTTGTTTAACGTAAAAAAATTTGACTACGTCTGCCATCTCTTCAAAGTAAGCAAAATACTTCCAATAAGCAGCTTGTATAAATTTTATTTGATGCTATTTTTTTATAAATTATACAAAATTAATGTTATTACTCGATTTAAATCTAAAAATAATTTTTAATTTTATTTGCCGGTGACAAGAACAAAGATATGCAGTAATAGCACCTTGATATGTGGATTAAAAACTTGGAACAAGCTAGCGTCCAATATACAACAATCGCGTTCCAACTGGAAGTTTAAGTCCGACATGCATAAACTGATAGAAACAGATGCAATTTAAACAATCTTTTCTTTACTCATTTCTGTCTTTTTTGTTTTACGAAACAATATTGTGTTTTTCTTTATTATTTGGACATTAAGAACAAATTTTGTTTTATTAATTAGTTAAATTGACAATTGAACAACATAATTTCTGTTAGTTAAGTTGCCGCACAGCTCTTTTGGGCTTTTGGTTATACTTTAAATAAAAGAAAAATAAATAAATAAAAAAAATAAATAAATAGTGTAATGATGGGAACAAAGTAAATTATCAATAGGCATGTTTTCAACCAAGTTTTACATTTTTGTTAGGTTGGAGCCTGTAGGGAGCAAACATTCATTTATTAACTATCTTATGTATTAATTATTATTAAAGATTATTGCAATTTTCAATGTTACTTAATCTATGTTAGTTTTTATGTCTTTGCTACTTTCTCGATTTCTTTCCATTTTTTTCCTGATAGCTTGTAAAACGAAACAGTTCGAGATTCACGTGGGAATAAAGATAATATTTTATTACGCCTGAATTTTATTTATTTTAACTCACAACAAGGTATCTTGTTAGTAGCAGAAGTTCGTACTAACAAGCCCAAGGCAGTATGTTAGTGTTGGGGCGGGTGCCGAATGGCGATTGAATTGGGCTCTTGAGTTATGTCATTTGAGTAAGCTAGGGATAATTGTTAATAGGAACCAAAAAAATAGCAACTTGAGCGTTATAGTTGAAAGAATCATCAACCATATGAATTATCATCTTTTCGCTTCTAAAACTCAAAACAATTTCGGTTTACCTTATATTAAGAGTAAATTCACTGATGAAGAATATTTGAAATGTTGCGATAATTTTGTAAAAAAAAATTTAGCTCTGGTTAATCAGAATATATAATAATAAAAATTGTAAAACATTCAACAAACATATCGTATAATATTTGGAAAAGAGTTTAAATATTGTAAGACAAACTAATGTAAATTTTTTCCATAAATGATATAACTCACTTTTAAAATATAATTTTATTTAAGCTAAATAGCACAAAGAAGCCATTTAAATTTTTTAAACACAGTAACTCAAAGATTAAAAATTTTCTTGGAATGAAATTTCCACGTTTCTTTAGCACCTGTGTTTAGTTGGGAGGTAGATATTTTATGTAACACGTTCTCAAGTACAGCCTTAATTAAAAATTAAAAACAAATTTTTTTTAGATAAAAACAGTCTATACTACATAAAAAAAATTTTTTTACAACTTAAATAATAAATAACGCTCAATATTTTTGAATTTTGAGGTTAGTGTAATAATTTCTTAGAAGGTTATTAAACTACTTTAATATTTAAAATCTGCACTCAGCGGTAAAATTAGGAAACGATTTTAAAAAAATTTATCGATATTTTACTAAAATTAATTTATATTGTCCATTAAATAGGGGAATGGAGATTTCGGATAATCATGAACAATCACGTTACAATTGCCCCAAACACGCTGTAGAAGTGCTGTATATTTGCAAACCATGTCGTCAGCCCATTTGTCTGCACTGCCATGTTAATGACCACAACACGCACGAATTAATGCTAGCATGTCTTGAAGCTAGCAAAAACAAAAGGTTTTTAGAAAAATATGCTCAATTAGCAGAAACGGAAATAAAGAACGTTGATGAGAATATTGAAAGATTGATACCCTATACAGAAAATGCGAATAGTGTATTTGAAGAGATACAAGCATATTATTCTCGAGAAATGGAAAAATTTGAGAATGAAGAAATTCTTAAAAGCTTAACATCATTCCGCAATGATAGAACCAAACTTAAAAATATATATATAGATTGTAAAATTAAAAGACGTAACGTGAATTTTCTGGTAGAGAATGAAACTAGGGAATTGGATATACAGTTGACAGGGAAATTTGAGCGGAATATTTATCACGTTAATTACCAGAATATGGAATCAAACCTGGCGTCTTTTCGAAAAATTCTTCGAAATTCCATTATAATCACAGGTATTTATATGTCAACTACGTTTATAAATTTAAATAATGTAAAAAAAATTTTAAAATTACATCTGTTTTTAAGAGTTAAGGATAATAACTTTTTGCTTTTTATAAAAAAATAATTGAAAAAGATTTAATAAAAATACAAATAATTAATTTTCAAAGGTTTAAAAGATGATTTTGCATCATTGGTCGACGAGATCTCCTGCGGCTCTCTGGTGACGTGTTTCGCCATCTCCGATTACAAGCTTTATATTTGCACCGGGAACAAACTTTTGATTATAAATGTTATCAAACGCGATGAAGATTTCGTAGAAAAAACTTACGAAGGACTGGAAAATCTGCCAGACATTTTAGTTTATGGGAATAAATTTTACTTTTACCTCTCTAAAAACACTACAGATGTGTTGACACCGAAATACCCGGAATTTAAAAAAGTTAAAAATATTTCTTGTTTTTCCCTGAGCGGTGATACCATAATTGCAGCTCGTCAAACTAATGTTTTAGATGTAGAGATTGAAAGTTGGAAATTAATTTGTATTCAAAATTCAACTAAATCAAACAAAGTTGAATTTACAACAAACGATTATGAGGACAGTGAATTTACACCAAACGATGATGAGTACATTTTGAGTGTTGTCAAACTTCGGAATAAAAATTACGTGATTGCTACTCAAAATGGCTTGGAAATATTTAGCAGATCATGGGATAGATGTATCACATGGGATAGTATTAAAAATTTAAATGGACATGAGCCGCTAACCTCACAGCATAATCATTCAGCAACAATGTGTGAATACGAAACAAATATGACAGCAACAGCCTATTTGTCACTAGATTCATATGACAACATCTATCTGATTAGCAATCATATTGTAGAAAATATTTTCGTACTGGACAATAAATTTAACTTTTTAGCTTATATAAAAACTAAATTTGTTCCAAAAAAAATACAAATAACAAAAGATAACACGCTCTACGTCAGCTACCTCAATGAGCCTCACATTTCCATCTATAAGCTCAACATCTTTGAAAGGTCCGACAACACGAAATCAGATGTTCAAGCAGACCAAACTGAACAAAAAGAAAAAGAAACAGTTCAAGATTGAAGGTCTTTCAAATAAATTGACATTTACCCGTAAATGTAAATATTAATTTTCAAATTTGGTCGCATATTAGACGATAATTTTTCGCTGCCCTTTTTTTAAAAATAACAGTTTGATGTTGCTTTTCTTCTTAATTATTTAACAAAATTTCAAAATCAAATTTTAAAAAATGCAACAGAGCAATAAACTAATGCAATAACTCCAATTTTTACTTGGAGACGGCAAAATTTAACACATAGAGCACCAGAATATGTTAAAATCTTAAGATGTTGTACTAAATAATAATAAGCATATTAAATTTTAATAATTAATCTTTCGTGCCACATAGGCAGTGCCATCCACACCACACGACTCACATACACATAACGTATGCACGCGCAAGCGCCACACCAAATGCGCTTGATGGACTTTGAGTTTCAGACAGGCAGTATTCGAACCATGCCATAGCGCGTAATAGCGTGAATGGTCTACATCAAAGCATGCCTCTTTACATTTCTTTTTTTTTCTTTGGCAAGTTTTATTGAATTGAGAATACCAACACAAGTCCATTCAGTAATGTCGTCTATCTATTTCTTTGCAGGTCTACCAACTTTTTTCTTCTAATCTCTTTTCCTCATTAGTACCATCTTAATCAATCTGTCTTCCCTCATTCCACAAATGTGTCCAAAAAATTCAATTTTGTTTTTCTCTGAATTTTTTTGTCTTCCAAATTGATTTCTAATGGTTTCGTTCTTTACTTTCTGCCTCCAACTGATTCCTAACAAATTTTGGTAACACTTTATCTCAAATTTTTCCAATCTGTCATTGTCTCTTTTCTTTACAGTCCATGTTTCACATGCATAGAGCAAGCTTGGAAAAACGAGCCGTGTCAATAAAAGCGAACCGTATTTAATTACTTTACTTATATAAGAAAAATGACATAAAATGAAAATTAAAATACTTTAATACAAAAATTACTATTAGAAAAAATAATCGGCGATTAAAACGTAATTTTCAAGTTTGTGTATAAAAGAAATAATTTTTAAAAACATAATCAAAAACGAAATAAACTACAAACATATTTGTACTCTCTGTTTATTGTTTACCACATTTTTGCTTTCTTAATGAAGAATTTTATCAATAATACAACTTAATTTCGTGATCTAGATAATTGAATATTTTGTAAGGTATTTCAACACTATAATTCCAGTTCGGAACGCAGATATTTTTGAACTGGAGACCAAAAATTTAAATGGAATCATGATTGAAGGTTCGAACATATTTGGGAACATTTTGCATGTTGTCAAACTCCATGGTGGAAAATACGTGGTTGCTACTCAAGATGGCTTGAACCTATTTTGCAAAGAAAAAAATTAGATATCTGTTAGCTAGGAAAAAATTAAAATTTTAAATAGACAAGAGCCACAAACTTTGCTGTACCACCGTACGGCCAGAATAACTGGGTTCTCTACAGATTCAACAACGTCTTATTTGTCTTTAGATTCATATGACAACGTTTACGTAATTATCAACCACCTGGAGAAAATTATTTCGTTCTTGATGGTAATTTAAACTTTTTATCTGATTTAAAAACTATATTTGTTCCGAAAAAGTTACAAATAACAAAAGATAACAAGCTGTACGTCAGCTACCTCAATGAGCCTCACATTTCCGTCTACAAGCACAACTTCTTTGAAAGGTCAGACAACACGGAATCAGATGTTCAAGCGGACCAAACTGAACAAATAAAAAAAGAATTGCAAGAACTTTCAGAAAATTGAAAGACGTTCAGACAAACTGTTAATGTGCTGAAATTTATTTGTATATATTTCCCATTTTAGCGCAATATAAGTTTTACAATAATTGATTGCAAGCTGTGGTTATAAATAATTTTAAATTATGATTATTTTTTTTATGTCATTTATTCAAATAAATTTCAAAATAAATTCAAGAAAAATAAATGCAATTAAGCGATAAACTAAAACATAATATTTATAATAGAGAGAACGAAAGAATATTTGTCAAAATGTAAAAAAGTAATAAGCTCATAAGCAGCTAACTAGTTTTTATTTTTTAAAATCGTTCATTACTTCATCCATTAATTCATTCATTCAGCACATGACATGATAGATGGTACTTCTACCGACTGAGCTAACTCGGTGACTTTGACATCATATTTTTTATTATAAATTTTGCAAGGAACCTCAACTATACTCAATGAAAAGCAGATAGTTCTTTATTAACAATCAACTATATTGTAACTAATGTTCACTTAGCGTCACGACAATTTATAAGCAATAATGTTTTCATGTTTGTGTTGTAAAGGAAATAATTTTTAAAAATATAATTAAAAACGAAATAAACCTGTTTACCACATTTGGAGGTCCAGTGTTTCATAGAGGCAGTGGTAGTGATTATTTATTACGCAGGTTTCTATCCACGCCAGATGAACATGTGTTCAACCACAACAACAACAACAACAACAATAACGTCAACCACAACTGCAACGCAACAACAACAACTCTGCACAGACCAACCAACTAACGGTAGAAATGTTTTTCCGATGCCAGCAATTGACACCGTTGCCAGCCTAGAGCCGAGAATACATAACATATTCAAAAAGTACAACAATAATGAATATCGAGTAGTTACAGCAGATCCAATCCATCATCACATTCCTACATATCATCCCATCCCTAGAAATCATGGATACATCACAAATCCTCCAGAGCAGTACATTCCTGCTTACTACGACATTTCACAGAACCACATCATCTCCAACCACCTGGCCAGCAACCTCACAAACACAACAACATCCCCTTCAACTTCCAACAACATAACAGTGATAGTCAACATATTGAGCAGATTCGGATCCAGTTCAAAAAACTATGTTTTTTTATATCGGCAGTAGAAGAAGCAGCGTTCATAACGATTTTGAAGTTGATTTTGGTCAGTCAGCCGTCAATAGAATTGAACACATCAATCTCATTTCTCGTAACAGCTTCAACAACCACATTAACTACAATTTTAGTTAAACAAAATCAACAGTAACTATCTAACGTGAACGGAAATAGGGAAAAGAAAAGGTGAAGCAAAGAGGAAGTAGTAATTAAATTCAAACATAGATATAAAAATATGTTTAGTTGTTAGTAATAACAAAACTCCCCCGCAAGACGCGGAGCCATTTAATTAGAAAATTGTTTGTTTTTTGTGTTGAATTTGATTTTTCTACTCTTCTTGGAAGATGTGGTTGTTGATGCTGTTGTCGCTGAAAATGTGGTTGACGCTGTGGCTGTTGGTTCAAATCCTGTTCTAACTTTCATGTGAAGTTAGCCAGCTTCGAGTGATTTCTAGAATAAGATGAGTGGGAGGACGACGAACTATGCTTTGCTTTTCTCTTTTTGTGATGATCTTGCTACTGCTGAACAGGAGAAGAAAAAGAGAAAACTGAAAGTAGAGGATCGTTTCTGTATGAATTGGCTGATGGCATGGCAACATTAGCACATCATTCTGCTGTTCTGATAGTTTTATGTTATTTTCATATTTGCTTAGTTGTAAATAACAACGATGAAATATTTAGTCCCCTACAATATCACTGTGTATTTCGGATGTTACGTGCCAGTTATTTGTCGTCTTCAACAGTACGTTATAGCAAGTGTCCGACCGAAACTAATTGATTGATTGACCTTTAGTCTGAAAAAGTATGCCAATTATCATGCTTCTTTTTAAGTCGTTGATGTCTTTATTATTTTACAGGTTGGTAGGTGCTTTTCATACATAATTTTAAACGGCGACTTTTATTACATAAACACAGAAAAGAACCGGTCACACCAATTCAATTTATTGTGAAAACTTCATGTCACATTTTTGATTTATCATTTAAATGCAATCTATTGCTTACTAAATGGAAAACTGCAAATGTTATTCTTATCCATAAAAAGGGTCCTACCAATTACCCCAGTAACTACAGACCAAATTCTCTCATTAGTTCAAGTTGTAGAGTAATGGAAAAAATGTTTTCTTTTCTTTTAAAAAACAAATTGATCACTAGTTCTCAACACGGTTTATTACCTGCCAGATCCACCTGCTCTAACTTATTACAATATCAGAGTGACTTGATGTCAATTCGTCAAAAAAAAAGAAAGCTGCGAGACCATCTACTTAGATCTCCAAAAGGCCTTTGACTCTGTGTCGTACTCAAAACTTGTTGAAAAATTAAAGTTCTACGGAATGTCTGAAAACTTGCTTTTCTGGTTGACTGACTTTGTATTTCAACGTTCTCAACAAGTCCGAATTCAGAGTAAGCTATCAAGTTCTGTACCTGTTACTAGTGGTGTTCCCCAGAGTAGTGTCCTTTCCTTAGTTTCACCCTATTATTGATATTCATAAACGACGTTGTTGAGTGCATCTCTTAAAAAACGGTTTCAATGTTGCTTGACGCTGATGATATAAAATTATATTGCCGTTCTTCCAACTCAGCTCAACTTCAGCAGGTCATTAACGACATAGTTGCTTGGAGTATCAAATGGCAACTATCTTTTTCTCCAAACAAATATTCTCATTGCTCGTTTCTTCCATCACCAAGATCTGTCCTAATTCCGCATCAATATTCAATTGACCAACAACTTCTAACTCTTAATAACGAATTCAAAGATCTAGGACAACGAATTCAACTTCAATCTTATATGCGACATCACTCACAGGGCTTTTCGTGCACGCCTAATCAATAGATGTTTCACCTCCAGAGATAAAGATCTACTTGCGAAAGATTGTCTGCGGGTGAAAGTAAGATTTAATTTTAGTGTTACAAATGTTTTCAAAAAATTCGGACTGAAACAAAAATGAACAAATGAATAACGATGAAAATAATAATGTCACTATTGCAACGTTGTGACGAATAATTAAGATTGTTATGAAATCACGATAAGAAATATATATATATACTGTTTAATATCTCAGTGATGTCTTATGAAAATTATTATCATTGTTAACTTTTTAACTATAATATGGCTTGTAAGGGTACGACGTTGTTATTGTTATTATAGTTATTTTTATAATTTTTTATTATTGTTGTTGTCAGTTATTTTCCTACATTTTCTTTTTCTTCTTCTTATTATTATTATTAGTACTACTAGTTGTTAAAAAATGGTGGCAATGTTCTTGTCTGTCTACTTACTTCTGAAAGGATTTAATGCGCAAATCGTTGTGCAATTTGAAATTTGAAACGCCCTGTGAACCTTATTCCCGACATTCGAAAAATAACACAAGTAAACCAAACGCTGACAACCTGTTTGAATTTTGCATTTGCTGTTGTTTTTTCTTTCCAGAATCAAATATCTGAATAAAATGAAGGCGGTGACAAGAATTTTCTGCTTCATGTTTTGCATTGGAGTAACTCTCTGCACTGCTGGTTGGTTGGGAGTTTCTGTGTTGAATGATGTTTTGTAGTGACCGATTATTTGAAAATATTAATGTTTAACTATCTTAAATCCTATTTACTGCGTTTATAGTTTATGAAAATTAAATTTTTCCTTATTATTGGTCAATTTTTTAATTTATTTTGATACTTTAAGTTTACAAAAAAACTATAAAAATTGTTTAAAATTTGTCAGAAATTCCTTCAATGATAATTTTATTTTCTATCAAGGTCTGAATGAAAATTGCAGTGTAAGTATCTTTTAAATAATTTTAAATGCTTGTTGAATGAATGTCATGTGCATGCTTTTTTATCTAACGACTTCTATGGAAATTGGCTAGGATGACAACTCGTGCGCATGGAACTTGAAATGCAACCCGGAAACATCCAAATGTGGTTGGTGGTGATGTCCAGCTTTACGTGTTCAATTTATAATTTTGGTGAATTTTTTTAAAACTTGAAACTTTTTCTACATTTTATTATTACAATCAACATGCAGTTTGCAATGACATGGTGTGTCCCAGGGGCTGTCCAGGGGAATATCAGCACGATGAGTATGGCTGTAGAACTTGTCTATGCAAAGGTTACACTTAACATGTTTTTATTGCACTGTTTAGCTTCGTCATTTTACGTCGATTTTACTTTCTAGAAATTTTGAATTTTTGTGACTTTTAATGAATTCAAAGTCAAATTTTATCTTAACAAGAATTATATTTTGATATTTTCACTAGAGTTATATTGAACGCAAATAGCAACAAATTAAATGAAAAAATTTGTGTATGATAGATTTTTTAAATATTTAGAATTGTTACTTTGTACTATAAACTTTAAATTATTTTTGTGGTTCCTACCTCACCCACCCTAATTCTTCATAACGTCATCATGATCGGTGTCGCGTTGAGGCAGGCAAGATATTTAATCAGTGGCGCAAGATAGCTCACCATTTTATACTAAGATATGAACTTTTAGTAGAAAAAGTAGCGAACAACAAACAACTTCAGAAACTTTTCGTTTGGTATTAGCCTATCAACTTAACCTTTATTAAATTATCTAACATTACACTACTAAAACAAACATTACCTAACATTACACAACTAAAACAAAATGTGGTTAGTGCTTCGTTCAACGCTCAGTCTTTTTTATGAGTTATTATTTTTTACCCAGTTGAATTATTACACGACACATGACAAGACACATGCATGCGCGGTCTGTGAAACAATATCACGGACGAATTCCTGAAGCTGTTGCAATTAATGAACAGGTTGCAGTGGCGTTCAGTGCAGGAAATACTGCTTTCTAGGCTTCACCACGGATGAGAATGGATGCGAATCCGTATGCACATGCAATTGTTGGTTTTGACGGTTTTCCAGCATTTTTTAACATACAACAATTTTTTAAATTAAATATGGCATAATTTTTTTTTCCAGCTGAAGAAACTGTTTGCAAAGTTTGTCGATAATTTAATCATAAAAAAAAGTCAGAATTTCATTTCATTCAAAATTAATAATGCCTACTGTTAATAAGAGCTAAAATGAGAACGATACAAACATTGATTAACGATGATACAATGCTTTCCCCATCAGAACATCTGGTGCACCGCTCCTCGCCAATGCAACCCACAGAATGGCAGATGTGGTTAGTTCCGCATTCCTTTGTTTAACGCTTAGTCTTTTTTAACGTGTCATTATAATTAAGTTATGTTTAGTGGCTGAAAGTTGTAGTCAGATTGATCCTATTGATATAATGAAATAAATCTTACTCTAGACCAGGGGTGGGCAAACTTTTTGCTTTGAGGGCTGCATTGAAAACTATTTCACCTTTGAAGGGCCGCATATGTACTTGAAAAGCAATTTTTTTCGACCCGTGGACAATTTTTTAAAATTTGTGGTTCCTTTTTTGGTCATAATGTCTGAATGACGACGTTTTGTATGCGACCAGGGCCTCGTTGGCCGCATAAAATGTCTTCGCAAGCTGCATGCGGCTCGCGATGGGCCGTAATTTGTCCACCCCTGCTCTAGACACCCGCTATTTTGAATCTAATGTGAATTTTGTTTATGTAACTAAAATCATTATCAGTAAATCAAAATAACCGTTTTCAAAATTAAAAAATTATCTGGTAAAAATTTGAGAAAAAAGTCGCTAGTGGATGTTGCCTACGAACGAACCTCTTGAAACGTGCAAAAAATTGTTGGATATTGAGATGTATCATATATTTCAATAAACTTTCATTTATTGAGTGGCAAAATAAAAATCAATTAGTTTTCTAATCTTTAAGTTTTGGTGAATTTAATAAAAGTTTTATATTTTCAGAAATTTTTTGAAGTGAAAATGGGCGAAGCCGATATGAAGCAACCACCAACTAATGATGCAGTCGACAACAATTAATTATTTTACGAAAGTTTGAATTAATTGTCTTTTGATGAAGTGAAAATTGAATTTTGATTGAATGATTTAAAAAATACCTTTTCTGATATATTTTAGATAGTTCCTATTCTCTAACCAGAGATTGAAATTGTTTTTAATTTGGCAGAATTAATTTCTTCACGGTTAGTTGGCTCTAAAATAAATTGTGCATTATAAGGGATTATTTTTGTGTAGAAAAGGTGTATAATATGCAAAATTGTTAAAAGATAGTTTTGTGAAAAAATCATAGAAATAATTTTTTATTTGTTTAAAATCCTCAACTAGTATTTTGTTCATAAAGATAGGAGAGTTCAAAAGTTCTTTTTGTTTATCAATAAAGGTTTTAGATTTTTTCCAAGTAGTTTTAGAATAATGATTTAAAAAGATTTTTAAAATAATTTTTTTAATAAATTTAATATTGTTATTGACAAAATTTTTAATTTTTTTATGTTCTAAATAAACATGTTGCTCATTGTGTTTTTTAAATATTTTAAATAAAAAATTCTTCTTCCTAATTAATGTTTTAATGTTTGGAGTCATCCAGGTTTGGAGTCATTCATTGATTACAAATTTAACTTTGAAAATCAGGTTAAAACTGTATAAGTAAAATAAATGTTACGTTAGAACTTATTTATCAAATCAATTCATCAGTAACCCGCATCTCTAAAAAAAACTCATTTATTGTTCTTACATTTATAGTCGCTGCAATTTAATATCGGATCATGCCAGCAAAACTTCTTTAGAAGAACTTTTTAGCACTCAAAAGAAATATATAAAAATCTTTTCTTAATTAAAAATCCCCCAACAAATTATGACGCCCATCTACGAAATGAACTGTTACAAAGCTTGTCTGTACTTATACGAAAGAGTTTATTGGATTGATAAGATAGATGACCACTTGAAAACAGTTCTTGATAACTCCTAGGAACCAAAATCAACCAGAACCAGTAGTAGCAGGACATTTAAAACACCAATGGAAAACAACAAGATAAACAGTAAAAACTTTTGTTTTTGCGCTCCGAAAACTTGAAACTGCCTTCCTTTTTACCTGAAAATTATCGAGTCTTACAACCTGGTTAAAAGTCAGTTAACTTTGAACGGTCGCTTTTCTATATTAGACTATTTTAATGTACATTTTTAGTTTTTACTATTATTTAACTATTTTCTAAATTGGTTCAATTTAAATTTGATGGCACCTAGAATATAGCATTTTTTGCTAGGAATGTACGTAATTTCATTTTTTGTGGAATAAAATTGTTGGCTGATTTTAATAGAAAGTACAAGATCACAAACGGATGAGAGAAAATCCCACTAAAGTAAACGTTCATGCAAATCTACATAGCGACGATTTCAAACATTTTCCTGCCTATACTTTTCCAACGTTATTTTAATTGTGGCATGGCGAAAATTTTAAACTTAGGGCATTTGTTATTTTAATGTTTAATTTATTATTATTATCATTGTTGTTGTTGTTATTATTATTGTTATTATTTTTTTGAGCATCCAAAGTTAAACTTCGCTAAAACCTGTTTAAATAAAATTTTTGAAGAGTATGGCTGTTGGTTGTTGGTGAATGTTGGCTAGCAGACCGTTCCATGTGGAAGGAAAACTGTAAGAGAAGCTCGGTTGACTATCGATGATTTGTTGACAGGCTGATGCAATTGGACAGGTGATGACGAACGAAAATGACGAGTGGATGAACGAGGACGTATGAGTTGATGAGGATAAGAAGGTTGAGCTGTAAAAAATTTTTTGTAGGTGAGTAGATCTAGTTTATAGATAATTTTTTGGCAAATTGATAGCCAATCTAATTGAATAAGTGAGAGCCCGTTAGGAGAAAGATTACTTCCATTTAGAACAACTTTCGCCTGTCTGTTCTGGACATTTTGAAGAGAGGCTAAATGGTAAGGAGGCAAATCAGATGGAAGGGAATAACAGTAGTCGAGATGTGAAAAGACAAGACGAGCCAGAGCAGACGATATATCAGCTGAAAGTAGATGGCGAATGTAACGGATGGTCCAGATGCAGTACTTGTATGCTCTAATGATATTTTAAACATGAGAGCTGCAAGTGAGAGACGGTTGGAAGTTATACCTAAGATTTCGAGATTGGAAAATTAATGAAGATGTTATTAACAACATTATGAAAATCCCATATTTAATGAATCTTTAACCCTGCCCCAACTGTGAATATATGTAAATAATGAGCGGGAGTAATTGATGCGCAGCCCTGTATAATGACGTGTTTGTTTACTCACAACAAGCTAACTTGAAGTCGATGAATAGATTTGGATATAATTCATAAAAAAAAATTATTTTCGTCAAATCAAATTGATATATTAAATAATTATAAAGTTATAATTTTGGTAAAATATAAATAAATAAATAAAATAACTATTAAAAAATAATTAATTTTATATTTTAAATATTTACCTGATAAGCACGAATTTTATTCTCAAGATAATAAGAAAATAAGTGAACGATGATTAAGTTGGGTCTGATTTTCTTAATGTTCGTTCGAGGAGCTGATTCACGTGAGTTGATGTGATTGCTTCATTCATTACTTGATCACAAAATTCTTTTCTTGAGGAAAATTTTTAAATTTTCAACCCGCTAAGTTAATCAAATAGACAAAAATTCATAATTCAGAAAAAAAAATTAATGCAAGTTGTATTAGAGTTCACTACACAGCACAAAACTTAAATAATAACACAGCCACAGAGCAACAAATAACATGAATAACATACCAACACTAATTCATAAACAACAACAAATCTCTACAAACAAACAAACAGCCAAACAATCTACTAATACCATCCAACCCAACATCCAGAACCTATAAGAAATGACTCCACCCTTCAAGCAGTTTTTCAAAAGATGGACAGTGGATCGATAAATAACATTTATCATCTCCAAAAGCAAAACGCCAGCACGACTGTCCTTGAATTCAACGCCACCAGACCTCAGAGTGGAAGTTCATTAGGAAAGCACAGAAGAGCGTTCGTTTGCTTGCTGGTTGCGATGGTCTGCCTCGTGTTAATGTATTTCCTAAGGCAGCCTTGCAATCCTAACAAATACAAGGAAGATGATGGTAACATTGCTGTTGCAGTTGAGTGAGTGAGTGAGTGAGTGAGTGAGTGAGTGAGTGAGTGAGTGAGTGAGTGAGTGAGTGAGTGAGTGAGTGAGTGAGTGAGTGAGTGAGTGAGTGAGTGAGTGAGTGAGTGAGTGAGTGAGTGAGTGAGTAAATAGAAGGATAAATGAATGAATAAATAATAAATTGATTATTGAATTAATGAATGAACAAGAGAGTGGACAAACAAATAAATGAATGAATAAACGAACAAATGAATAAAGGAAAGAACGCACAAACAAAATAAGTGTGATGTTGCGTGGTTGAAATTGGTTTACAAAACAGTTTTTAAAATTTCTACCATTGTGCAATGGTGTAGCGGTTAAGGTGTTTGGCAATTATAGTTGTAATTATTGTTATAATTATTATAATGATAATGATAGCGGAGATATATGGATGATTTGTTGGATTGGAAGATGTATGCTAGGTGAGTGTGCTCATTGATTTGGTTCGCTTTGCTGTAGTTGTTGATGTTGTTGTTGTTGTTGATGTTGTATATGTTGTTGGGGGAGAAGTTGTTGTTGTTGATGTTGTATACGTTGTTGATGTTGTTGTTGTTGTTGTTGGGGGAGAAGTTGTTGTTGTTGATGTTGTATACGTTGTTGATGTTGTTGTTGTTGTTGTATATGTTGTTGGTGGAAAGTTGTTGCTGTTAATGTTGTATACGTTGTTGTTGATGTTGTTGTTGTTGCTGCTGATGTGGTATATGTTGTTGATGTTGTTGTTGTATATGATGTTGTATATGTTGTTGGTGGGAAGGTGTTTGGCATTGTTAATGCTGCGCCCGGGTTCGAATGTAATGAAATCCAGCCTGTCACGTACAAAAAGTGTCTGATACGTTGATTCACGCGTATTTATACACTGTGTGTTTGTTGTAATTGTAGTAATGAGACTTATTCGCTTGCCATGGCTCTTTATAAATCGACATTATTATAATTTTTATTATTAATTGTAATTTGCCGTCGTAATTCAACTTGAAATACTCATTGAAACAAATGAACACCCGGTGGATGTTGGCAGCATTCCTACTGCCATCAGCACCTGCCCCCTCCCAATCGTCATCATCGTCGTCATCATACTCAACAACTTCCTCATCGTCGTCGTCGTCGTCACGTGATTCAGCCTACAGAACAACAATAAGAATCTCGAAAACAGGAACAACGATTGAAATGACGAAGGTGAATGGCGCTGGTTCAAAAAAAATCGGTAAGAAGTTCATTCATTCATTCATTTATTTATTCATTCATTCAATTTTTCATTCATTCATTCATTCATTCGTTAATTCGTCTCAGAATTTCTAGTGGATAAAATAAGCCCACCCCGTAAAACATTTTTTCTATCATTGAATAACAATAATAATAATAATAGATGAAATAACCGCTACTGACCTGACACATGCAAAAGCACTAATGTGAATAGAGCATGTAGACAGTTAATATTGTTCCGAAAGGTGTTCCGAAGAACGAGAGATCGATGCAACTGGTCTAGAGACATTGCAAGTGGCCTAAAGACGCTGGGAGTAGAGATACAAGATGTCTGAAAAATTTTTCATTATAATTAACTATCTTCGGGTTATTTATTTTTTTATTTGTCGGTTTTCAAGTCTGCATTATATTATTTATAATTATTTCGTTTTTATTATACATATCTTTGTTAGTTATGTATAATGAATATATTTATGATAATAAATATATTTATGATAATAAATATATTTAAAAAATATTTGAAGGATATTTTATGCGAGCCACACAAATTAGATTAACATAGTAATCATAATTTTGAATACCAGTAAAATTATGAATATCGGTCTTATAAGGTTTGAATAAAAAAAATGCAAAAATATAATAAAAAAAAAATAAAACCTTAATCATTAGGTTGTTGGAAATGTAAATGAAATTCAAAAAGATAACAAAACAAAAAGTATCTGAAATCATTTTAGGATGGCAATAAAAATAAATTTCTCTGAAAATTGGTGCAGTCGAATTTGAATGAAAATTAAATTAATACACATTAGCATTTCCATTTTAAATTGAGCTTACTAAAGAACCAACCAACCGATCTATTTACCTAACAAACAGCAAACATGAGAAGCAGACTCTTCGCAATTAAAGCTTCCAGTTACCCATCGGAGGGATGGGAAATCTGCCTCCTTAATGGTGCGAGCCATTTTCCAAATATTTAATATTTTCCAGGAACCGCAATTAAATTTCTTTTTTAAAGGGTAAGCAGAAAAGGTATTCAAATTTTTTTTCTACAGAAATTATGTTTACTGAAAACATATAAATACAAATACAAAATGTGTGCATTAAATTTAAATTTTAAAATTAAAAATATTTATTTTATACAATAATTCTTTAAAATTTTGCGAATAATTGGCGACAATATTTGTCAATAATTGGTTAGTTAATACTGATCGATGTTTGGATTTCCTGAATTCTAGTCTCTCATATCTGCGGCCCATAATTTAAAAAACATTTGAAACTTATGGGACAAGAGCGATAATAATTTTTTTAAATATATTAAAACAACACTGGTTCATTTCTTGATAGCCACAAATATTTCTTTAAAGAGCCGCACGTGGCTTGCAAGCCAACTTTTAATTTTTTAGATGCAGTCAACATTCACGCACCACTTTTTAGCATGCATCTGCGTTGCTAAATTTTAGTCAAACACCAGATCCAAGTTTCCATCAACATCCGATTCCTTTTTAGTTTTGCTTTGTATTCATTTTGAATTTGCGACGTTTTGTCTACATCCAATGTCCTAAATCTCCTTAGTCGAATAAATAAATAAACAAAACGAAACATGTCTTGTTTGGATGTGTGACCGCGGTTTAAAATTGGTGAAAAAATTGTACATTGATTTAATTATGTTTGGTCCAATGGTTAAGGTGCCTTTTATTGTTGATGCAGTGCTCGGGTTCGAATGTAATGAGACCCCCGCCGGTCACATGCAAAAGTGCCTGATACGTTGATTTACGTGTATTAATTAATACACTGTGGGTTTGTTGTAATAACTTTGAGAAATATCTAAAAATATTAATAATTATAGCACTCTTTTCCAAAACTTAAAACCGCAAGAAAAAATTGTTGAAAAAACGCCATGACCATCTGGTAAGTCGGAACAAAAAAGTCTTCAGTTTCCTACAAAATCTGCTTAGGTAAAATCCAGGCTGCCTAAAAATGTAGCAACCCATTCCAAAACTGTACCAACAACTGCAAAACATTGTTTGCCAGCAGACGGACGAGTTTGAGGAACATTTTAAAACATTCAATTCCTAAGAACAGAACGTAATGTCCAACAATGCAACAAAACCGGCTTAAGAATGCATTTGTTAATTAAATAGAGAAAGGCAATTTCATTTACAGATTTGTGGACCAAGGTAGCAATTTCAGACAATATACGCTTGGAAACTGGTAACCAGTGTAGCGCTCTTGGTGAAGGAACAACACGTTCAAACCACGGACCGCCATTAACTATGTTCGCGGCCAGATTCTGAATTTATTGAAACCTGGATATCAGCCTGTCGGACACACCGTAAAAAGACTATTGCAATTATAGCTCCAAAAAAAAGAAGAATTTTTAGTAACTTTTAATTTCTTATAAAAATAAAGCACCACTTTTTAACATGCATCTGCCTGTTAAATTCAAATCAAACACCCACCCAAGTTTCCAGCAACAGAACAATAATTTATTTTAACCCCACTTAAAGTGGCCGGGTTCAGGCCAAACTTACCCAACTGGTAGAAACTTGGTTTCATTTGTCTTCAATTAAAATAAAGTATACCAAACTTCAATTATTTTAATTTTTTGTTAGATGAAATGCTTTAAAAATCTTGAAGCAAAAACTTAAACGTGGTTTATACTAAAAAACAATTAAAATAAAAACAATAAAAAAAAAACAAAACAATGAAAATGTTGATGACTTTTCTAGATAACTGGAGTGATCAAACGCCATTGTTAGTAATTGAACTACAACCTCTCGCAGACCTTTTCTTTTTCTTCTTTCTCGTGCCTTATCCTTTCAGGATATTGGCGACCATCGATCTAAACAAAACCCGATCTTTAACGCTTTGTAAGAATTGAAATGTGGCGATATTCAACAAGTGACACAAGGACTTCACAAATGTTATTCGTTGTTGACCGCGATCTCCTTTTCCTGCAATCTTTCCAGTAGTTGTTAGATTTTCCATTCTTTCCTTCCGCATGATGTCACTGAAAAACTTCAACTGCCATGGTAGGACTATCTGTATTAATTTCCTCTTTTCATAACCGAACTGTTTTAATAAATCCTCATTCGAAGTATGAGAAGTCCAACTAATTTTATAATTTTTCTCAAAGAAACATTTCAGCAGCGTGACACCCTAACAATTTTAATTTTGTTGATATTCTGAATTTACTGTCGGTGAAGATGTTTTTCATTGTAGAATATGCATCTTTTGTCAAAGCTATTCTTCTTTTGATATCCATATCACATTTACAACCTGAGTTAATCAAACATTCGAGGTAATTGAAGCTGTTGACTTGTTTAACCTGTTTACCCTTAATGATTTTATGGAGCAGATCGGAGCGGTTTTGCTTTTACTGATAACCATGCACTCTGTTTTGTTGATGTTAATTTGCAAGCTTTTTCTTAAACTTTCAAAAACCAGTTTGGAAAAAATGGTTTGCAGTTTTTCCATCGGATCTGCTATAAGAGCTGTATCATCAACATGTCTTATATTGCTAACATTCACGCCTTCAATGTATATTCCAGGAGGTAGATCTTCTACTTTTTCATGATGATCTCACTATAGAGATTGTACAATGTACAGGTCTGCTGGAAAGAATACACAGCTTTGCCTTACACCTTTTTTTATTTCGACAAAACTAGTCATCTTATCACCAACTTTCATAGCTGTTTTTTGTTCCCAATAGAGGTTTTTGATAACTCTCGAGTCTTTTTCATCAATGTCCAAATTTTCCAATATTTTCTTAAGCTCCACCTGCTTCACGCTATCAAAAGCTTTGGAGTAATCGACAAAACATGTAAACAAGTCTTTCTTCATTTCAATCGCTCGTTCACTGATCATTCGTAGCATGAAGATAGCGTTTCTTGTGCCACAATCCTCTACAAAACCAAATTGGACATTTGAAATTTTTGATCTGATTTTGCTTCGTGCTCTCATCATCAGAATTTTCAAGAGAAGTTTTGTAAGATGACTCATCAAGCTGATTGTTCAATGTAGTTCACATTCCGTTGCATTAGGTTTTTTAGGCAGCGCAATAATTAATGACTTGGATAGATCTTCAGGAATTTCGCCGCTGTTCTAAATCTCATTCAAAACTTCTGTCACTTTTTCAATGGCAAATTCATCAAAACATTTAATTTCTTCAACAACTTTCTCATCTGGACCTGGCACTTTATTTGATTTCATTTTGGAAAGAGCGGCACGAACTTCAGATCAAAGACCTTTGGTCCTTCTGCCTCTTTTTTAATAGAGGCTTTTCATCCTGGATATTATTAAAAAAATCGTTAATGTATTTAGTCCATCTTTCAAGTACTTTTTCTTTCTCTAAGATTACTTCACCGGATTTAGCTTTAATGCTTCCATTAACGGTACAAGCACTTCTTATAGTGATTTCTTTGATGTTTTTATACATTGCATTTGTAATACTGTTTTTGATCTTTTCAATTATTTCGCACCTGTCATTTAACCATTTTTCAGCTAAATTAAAAACAAGAATAAATAAAATAATAAAACCCATCAGCTCATTATTCACCAACAATTTAATACCTGCAATAAAAGGTGAGTAGAAGCCTTAGAAGGTCAATTGGATGTTATTTTCAATAAATTATTTTTGAACTGTTACTGTTTGTTTATCATTAAATCCGAGTTGAAAAACGCGAATTTGGACTACGGATTAACAAATCTCTACTGCTTAAGTATTTTTTAAACCTTGATTGGTTGTGTAGAAGAGATCCTGAAACTTGAAGTCTACAACGATGTCGACTTGAGGGAAGGGTGTTATCTTATTTACAAAAGGGGGTGCAGCCTGGGGGCGGTAAATTTTTAAACTCACCTTTGCAGAAATTACTGAAAAATTGATAAATTACTAAAATCTTGAATTTAAATTCAGCGAAGACAAAAGTTTATTATTACAAATGCAAAGCAATAAAAATCGGACTATATTAAAATTGACCGTTTAAAAGTTTAAAATAGCATTTCACAAAGCAAAGCAGTTTTGAGTAGTCAAGCAAGTAGTTGATGTCACCGTTAATATGTTATTAATTATTTTTTTATACTACTACTAAAGATAATTTTTAATAATAATAATATTCTCTTTATGATTGTCGCCATCCAGTATGTAATCATTTTTTCATATTCTTTTGTAATTGCTGTAAAAAAATTTGGCTGACATTTCTGTAATAAAATATTACAAAAAATTAAATCAAAACATTGTAATTATTCATGAATAATAAAAATAATAATAACTATAATATTAACACTAGTAATAATAACAATTTTTTTTAAATAATCATATATTAATTATCATTATTTTTATTATCATTATTATTATTATGTGTTCAGCTGTGGATCGATTGCTGCCCTGGCAAGGTATGCAGAACGTCATAATAAAATTCTATCTGAGATCATTAATTGGTTAAAGACATGTTGCCAAGAGGACTGCCTGATATTCACAGATATCGAGTCAGAGGGGGTTTAACCAATATCGCAACTGTTCAATTCCCTCTGTCCAGACGTCGCCATCTGCGCAACCGCAAAATTGAAATTATCGAGTTAATGGTGTGCCAGGAAACAAATCTGCTAAAATCAAGAAACTACAAACTATCGAAATACGTAAATAGTTTGAATTTATGTCTGAACGCTGATTTTATGAACTGTTTAATTTTTCTAAAAACATTTGAAATAACTCCGATAAGCTTTTTCATGGCCGATTTCATTTATTAACAAATTAATAGACTCTGTAATTAGATCGACCTATGCCATTTATTGCGATAGGAACACTTCATAACCAATCTGAATACATAACCGTTTTTCACTTGTCCTAGACAATGAGCATTGTGGTTTTTATTGAAAGGTTTCAGTTAACTTTTGGGTTTTTAGTCCCTGTTTGAATTAAGAACATCAATGATAAACCTTATCATGATAATAATAATAATTAAATGTTTCCGTTGAAGATTTATAGACAATCGATCATGTCTTTTTTTACTAAAATCTGTTTCATTTTTTACTATACTGGTCAACAAAAGTTTAAAAATTTCAACTACCAAAGTCTCAAAAATGTGCTGTGATGAAACCGTTGCTAAAAAATTATGGCCTAGCAAACAACATTGAGGCCAACTATACACCTATCTCAAATCTCACTTTTATCACAAAATTTATTTTCAAAATTATCGCTCATTAGCTCCTTACCTACCTAACCAAAAATTTACTACTTCCAACAGTTCTATCGGTTTTTCGTCGAGCACACTGAACAGAGAGACAATTTTGGAAATAGTTTCATACGTCTGTAATGCCGTTAATGTTAGAAACATTACGTTGCTGGCACAACTTGATGTGTTTGAAATGGTGGATCACCAGACTTTGTTGAAACGTCTGGCTGTATCTTATGGTACCAGCGGAGATATTCTTAGGTTGTTTCAACCATATTTAATAGACAGATCTCAAGTTTACAGCTATGGTAGAGATGACTCAGGAACGGCTTAATTAACTTGCAATGTCCTACAGGGTTCAGCCTTTGGCCCACTTTTGTAGATTAGGCACACCACAGACATCATCAACTTCGCTAAGTTTTTGTTTGTCATTGACGATATTCATCACTACCTGCTTCAGATCACAGACATGTGTCTAACGCAGTGAGCCATATCGGTGACTGTGTATTAATATAAAGCGCAATATGTGTAGTTGGGAACTCGAATAGTCTCAGAATCTTAATTATAAAAATCTAGTAACAAATTTGAAAGTCCTTCAGATCTTTGTATATCTATGGCCTACCATGTAACTCAGCTCTGCCAGCAATCTTTCTATAAACTCCACAAAATACGATCTATCAGGCATTATTTAACAGTTGAATCAACAAAAGCACCCTTTTGTAGTTTCATCTGCCGTTGAATCAGCTACTGCAATGTGATAGCGTATGGCATCAATTGATCTATTTGTGATTATATGCAGCCCGTTTTGAACGTAATGGGTAGACTGGTTTATGGATGTTAAAAATTTGACTCCATTTCAGCATTTAGTCTTTAGATTATTTAAATAAGCTGCTTAAGTTTATATCAGGAATTGCCAAACGGAGTCTTGAAATCTTTCAACATGGATGATATGGGTCTTCCAATGTCTAGTTCATCTCGCATTGAAAAAATGTGATTTTTAGTATCATTGGCACAAATCCGAAGTGCATTGAAGAAGTTCTGCACCATCAGTCGATAAGTATACATTGGGCGTCTCCCGCACAATTTATTCAGCATATTAGAGCGAAACTAGCTTTTCGGAAGTTTTTTAGAAGAAGCGCTCTATAAAAATTTTGCAATACAATACGAAAAATAAAATCGATAATAATAATGATAACAATAACAATAATTAAACAAATGGGATAATAATGACAACACTAACTATTTATTGCAAAACTTCAACCAGAACCACGTTCCTTTCATGACCTCGTTGAACTTTGGCGCCATTTTTATATAGATCGCAGAATAACAAAAGATGCTAAATATTAAAAGTATGTGGGCAATTATGGTTAAGTGCATAAAGATGTCAACATTCAAGTGGAAGAACAAAAGTGAAAAAATATTCAAGTTGTTCCAGGGAAGTAAGAGGATGATGAAGGTGAGTGCGACAGCTGTCAACATTTTCGCTTGCTGCGGGGTCGAAATTGGTTGTTTGTTGTTTTGTTGTTGATGATGTTTTGTTGATGTTATATTGTATTATTGCTGATGATGCCATTGTTTTGTTCATGTTTTTTTGTTGATGTTGTTGCTCTCGTTGTTGGTGAGGTTAGTCACACGACACGCGAGACTCTCTATGCAATCGAACCTGGTCGTTGGCCAGTTGTGTCAGGTATCTCGATCGTTGCACCATCGAACAGCCCAATTTTATTTTTATTATTCTATAACGATATTCATCTTGAATTTAAAAAAAAAAACATTCAAAAAACACTTCACCTGTTTATCTTTCAGTTCGTCGGAACCCTCATCATCAGCAGCAGACAAATTGTGACTACCGGCGTTCGTTGCAACGTTATTCTTCTGATTAAGCTTCCACCAAATGCAGCCATGCGTGACTGCCAGGACGAGGACGGGCAGGTAGTACTCGAAGAGGCCCACACAAATTAAATACGCCCTCACGAACGTAGGGTTGGAGCCGTATAACGAACAAAAATTTTGACACGTGTACCAGTTTTTTTGAAGTCTGACAATGATGATGGTGATGATGATGGTGATGACGATGATGATAATGGTGATGACGATGTTAATGATGATGATGTTTGATATAATGACGATGAAAATCATTAGCATAAAACATTTCACGATATAATAACTTTGTAAAAAACAAAATGCCGACTAACCCACTCATGAAAATGTAGGGCAGCGCGAAGAAGATGGCCAGACCCCAGATAAGCCCACATACGAGCATGGCGTTCTTCTGCTTTGGGCTGCATTCAATGGTTGGATTCATGACCGCCTTGCACTTGTAGCAACTCATCACCACTATCGTGAAGGATGTCACCATTAGCAAGGTCGACTTTTCGTTCAAAGATATGATTTGGAAAAATAAAATTCAGTAGGAACATTTTTTTAAATTTTAACATATTAAATAAGGAAATTATAAATTATAATGAAATTATCATGAATAAGCTAGACCTTTGGCAATAATAAAAATTAAGAAAACAATTTTATTTGAAAAATTTGAAACCTTCGAAAATTCAAATTGTAAATAAGAACAAACAGATTGATGCACTGACTTGAAAAAATTGCTCGGTCTTACAAACAAACCACCCAGCAGTCCAGTTCGCCCTGTTTGCCACGGCAACGTAGTAGAAAAGAAACGACATGAAGACTATCATCAACCCGGCAATGCTGTGATTTGTTATTAGGATGCTAATTGTCGTCTTCCTTGTGACGATGATGGCGTAGAATAAAAAGGAACTGGCAGTGACGCAGAAGATGAACAGGAGGATGTAGATGACAAGGTAGAATATTTTTGAAGCTGGAGCGAAAAAATCTGATCTCGGATCTGGCACGAACTCGGTGGTGTCACAATTTGGTAGGGTGGTTATGTTGAGGTAGTAGTCAAATGATTCCATGTCGTGTCGTGTTGTTAAAAGGGTCAAATAATATAAAATTAGAACTAGTTTATTAACCGATGATTTTTAATAAATTAAATATGTCGAAATATTATTTCAAAATATATTTGCAACACGAAAACCTTTTATGTGGTTCTAGTTAAAAACTTTTGACTAATAACAAAAGGTATATATATATATATATATATATATATATATATATATATATATATATATATAGTGCATATGTATGTATTATATACATGCGTGGGAAGGCAGTAATAAACACCCGTTAGTTTGTTGTTGTCGCACCATCACCATGAATATAGCGACACAATTTAATTGGCAACAAACATGTTAACAACAACAAAAATAGAAAACGATGGAATTCGCAAAAACAAAAACAGCAACAGCCAGCAAGTATATCGTCTTCAAAGCGAACCATTAACGACGGCAATATTAAAAACACATGTAGAGACCTATACATGTACAGTACAATCATCCACCATCATAACAACATTTGAAACACACAGGCACTTGCACATACAAACACGCACACACTCACACACACACACATGTATTCGTATATAAATATATATCTGTATTTATATTTATCTATTCATCTTTCCATATTTTACGTATTTGCAAAAATTATTTGGGAAAATGATCCTAAAATTATTTAAATAATTTACATTTCTATCACACATCCGAATAATATGCAACTTCACCCCTAGTCCACACTGTATTCACATAATCATAATTTTAAGACTTTAAACACCATATATATATTTATATTTAGACGAATTTTCTTAATATGGAATGTCCGATTATATCTAATTTTGGATTGGATGAAATCTTTAAGATGGAAAAATTAAGAAAAAAAAAAAAAAAAATATGTTTGAGGTGTCTTTTGATGAAAGTCTTTTCCTGATATGTAGATTGGGTGCCGACTTGATAGTTTTGATTGCGCTGACAAAGGTTGTATGTGGTAGTTTTAATTGGTGGTAGTAGAGGATGGATGACGTGGCTGTTGTTATTTTCTACTTTCTTGAACAGTCTTGAATCGAGTGTGTTGAATATCTGAGTGACGTAGGATATGATGCAGGTAGATAGTTGAAGCGAATTAGTTTTTTGATGAGAGATTGTAGTTGCTGAAGTTGTTGTTGTGTAGCAAAACCGGACCAGGAGTGAGCTGCATATTTGATGATGAGTGATTCAGTGATGTCAAATTATTTGATGCCTCTGAGACCATGTGAGCGGAGTGTTTTGAGTGCGGGAAATGTTTGAAAGCCTTTTGTGATAGTGTTATAGGTGCTATATATTGAAAATGAAAACCTTCTTATCATTTTAACCTATAGCAAAATTCATAATTTTTCATTAATCTGAATAAAAACATTTTAAGAAAAATTTTGTATGCGTAAATTTTTGCGTTAAATGATGAAAATTAACGATAAAAGTTTTATTTAATTTGGATCAACGGTTTTGAAAGAAATTGAAAAATATGTATATATATATATATATATATATATATATAGGCTGGAAGGAAGCTATTATTGATCCAATATTTGATAAAATTTACCGAATTTTTTTTTAGTCTTTATTATTGCAGCTCTGACATACGCAGAACCACTTACAATGTTACAGAGATGTTATCTATATATCTTTTATTATGTTCTTCATATCTTCAACCATTGATTTGAAGCAGCCATCTTCGCCGCAAAGGCTGTTTATCCTTTTCACACGACGCAGACCTGTATTTTACGAGATGTTTGACTCAGCAAGCATTTGAACCACTGAGCCATTTCGCCGGCCAAAATGCGACAACTTACGTCGTCTACCCATTTACCAGCCTCGAAAGGATGGACGGCTGGGTTGGCCGGGGGTCGGCTACCCTGATAAAACTGTAAAAACTGCAAAATTAGAACCCGGGTCGTGGGTGTGATAGACGGTCACGCTTACCACTTGGCCACGAGACCCCTTTTAGCTTCTAACTCGCGAAAAAAAGGCAAAATTCGTTGTTAAAAAATTCAAAAAAGTTAAAAATTTGCTAGATTTTATTAATTATTATATATATATATATATATATATATAATATATATACAATTATTTATAAAGATCACTGCGTTTTCGGCATTATTCAACTTGTAGTTGAGTTTCTCAATTTTTTTAACGAGACTTTTATCATCTTGATGAAGTTTATTAAAGTTAAATAAAAAAACTGTTTTTGTTAGTTTATTAAGATTAAATAAAAAACTTTATGCAGGTTTTTGTGTAGGATGTGCACCTGCATTGACCAATCAATTGTACACTATCAAATATTTGCAAAAATTAATTTATTTGTCAATTAAGCAAAAATTAAAATTATTTTACAAAACAAGACAAAAGCACTTTTCAAAATAATAATGTTTCGCACAAACCAAAAATCAACATTGAAACTTTTATAAAAATAATGATTATCGGGAAGATTCCTTCAAGTACATAGATTGAAAGCTCCTGATGGCACAAGTTTTTGCAGCAGAATTTCTTGTGCTAATCCTTCGTCCATTTGTTGAGCCAAATTTATGCCTGTGTAAGTGTGTTCGTGCTGTGTGTAAGAGTAAGTGTAGGTAGGTAGATAAGTAGTGTGCACTTTGCCGGTAATTTATTTTATCTTTTAGAGAATTTGTTTCGTAAATATACGTATTCAATTTTGAATAGAATATAAAATCTCACATTAATATAATGTTTGAAGTTGCATTATTTCATTCTTTAAAATTAATATTGTTATAACTGGCCGGTCGACGACGGGTTCGTTTATCCCAGTGGAAAAAAGTGACACGAAGTAACTTTTAAACTATCGTTTTATTTATTTACAAATCAATTAATAATGCTAATCAGTTAATTAATAATCAACGTTAATTAATTTGACCATGTCACAAGCTTAATTAAAATTAATGTTCAGAAACTATCAAATTAACGTTCAGAAACTATCGCTTTCCGAATCACAATTCACTTACGTATATCGCAAATACAATAAAAATACAACGTAGTCAAACATCAAATATCGCTTTCGAGATTAACAACATTAACAATCAATCAATCCTATTCGATATCCTGCACGTTTTTATATACCCGTTAACAATATTGTTACAACGGTCGCAAATATAGAGGCGCTACGAGAACTCATACAGTTCGAGAAGGAATCAATCAATCAATCAATTAGCTTATAAAGCGCTATTTCTGCGATGTTCAACAGCGCTCCTCAATGAATTTTGAAAACAGATGGGTCTTGAGATCCGCTCTGAACTTCGCAAGTGATGGAGAAGTAGTCAGAGAAGTAGAGAGTTCCAGAGAAAAGGACCAGAAAAAGCAAAAGCAGATTTGGCAAAAGAGTGTTTGGAACTAGAACCTTCTGACAGCGAGATATCTAGGACGTTCAAGAAGCGTCGGTAAAATGGGTATATAAAGACACGCGAGGTATTGAATAGGATTGATTGATTGTTAGTGTCGAATTTTGATTCGGAAAATGAGTTTCTAAACTTTTATATGATAGTTTGTGAACGTTAATTTTTATCTAACATTGATTAACTGATTATTGATTAGCATTGATTATTATTAATTTGTAAATAAATAAAACGATGGTTTAAAAGTTATTTCGCATCGCTATTTTCCGTTGGGATTAAACGAACCCGTCGTCAAGCGGGCTGTTATAACTATATTAATAACATTTCTACGAAATTTCTGAAGCCATGTACTTGACGGTGTTGCCAGTGGCGGATTTAGGAGGGTACCGGGAGGGCACCCGTTTCAAACAATTTTTTTTTAAATTTAAAAATTCTTGTCAAATAATTTTTTTTAAATCTTGGCCTCCCCCGTCGGAGTTGTCTAGATACGCCACTGAGTGTTAAAGGTGAAAAATGACGGCTGTTTTTCTATTGATTTGAGTTTGTTTTTCTAGATATATAGGCGTTCAAAACATAAAAAATAGAAAAAAAAATTGATCTCGCAGTACAGCACAGTACACGATCTGTTGGAAGCATCCTGCATGGTTGTGTCGGCACCCAACGACAACAATAATTCGACCATTTCCAGTTGGCTCTCCTGCATATGTTTGCGTGCATTATATTGTTGTTACATAAACAATTCATCTGACATAAAACATTCAACAATTATTTTAAGAACATCAACAACCAAATAAACGATCATCAAGAAGAAAAATTAAGTTACACTTTAACAATACAAAGATATGAACAGTACAAACAATAGCAACACAAAAAATCACTTTAGAAACCTTAACAGCTAAGTGCAATGGAGTTTCCTTAAAGATTCGTGACCTTGAATTGATAAAAGTCACCAATGAGTTAAAGTAGATTGGCAATGTAGCATTGTCATTTAAATGGCATGAAGAATTTGAATTTATGTCGTTGCTGATGTGTTTCTTGCTGATGTTGCTGATATAGTTGTTGCTGATATTGTTAATGTTGTTGTTGATAATGTTGTTGATGTTGTTAAAGTTGTTGTTGATGTTGTTAATGTTGTTGTTGATGTTGTTGTTGATGTTGTTGTTGATGTTGTTAATTTGGTCTTGGATTTTGTTAAAGTTGTTGATGTTGTTAATGTTGTTGTTGATGTTGTTAATGTTGTCGTTGATTTTGTTAAAGTTGTTGATGTTGTTAATGTTGTTGTTGATGTTGTTGTTGTCGGTGTTGGTGGTAGTGTCACCGTTATCAATTTTGTTCTTACAAAAATTAATGTTTTTGAAAGTTACGCATTCATAGCATTCTTCATTATTTTTAGAAACATTCATAACACGGTGGTTAATAATAACGTTATTATTATTATTACTATTATTATTATTATTAATGTTATTACCGTTATTACGTATGTTATTATTTTTATGACTGTTGTTAATGGTGACGTCAGAGCAATAAAACTTTTTGTTGTTAATGTTGTTTGCAGAAATTCTGTTTTGTGTAAAGTTGGAGATTAAATCGATGATGCACGTACGGAAGGCACAGCCTTCTATGTTGCAATGGATGAGGTCATGATGGGACCAAAGAACATTATCACATAGATCATGCAACGGCTGCTGTGTTTGTTGGTGCTTTTGTTGATGGAAATGTCGATGTTGAGTTTGTTTAACATCATGTTGAACTTGTGTCAACTGTGTTTGTACCATATTGTGGAGCTCGCATTGTTTATATTCAGGAAGTTCCCACTGCTGAAGGCACTGATGATGTTGGAAAAACAGACGATGGAAATGAAGATGCAGCAGGTAGATGATGGACCGACATGAGCCCGCCTGTGCTGACGTGTGTATGGCTTGTCTACCACCAATGTCGTCTTCATGGTACATGTCGATCTGCAACAATAAAATTGTAAGTTCTTAACACATTTAGTGGTGAATGGTCCAACTCATAGAGATGGTAATACAATTGATTTGATGATGCCACAGAACATGGTGGATGGGTCGTCGCAGTGTTCCAAGACGTGAGGCACGACTCTAGCCTGAAGTCAACATACTAGTCTTGAGAGACGACCAGATGACTTTAAGGCCTTCTTTTTAGCTGCAGACACAATGCTGAAATATTTTTTGAAAAGTTCAGGCTATCAGAAATATGTCTCAACATGTTACACCACCATTTTTTCTAAGTTTCTGTTGAAGAGTTTCCGGTTTCTCAGACGTGACCCAGAGCAAGTTGTAGCTGTGTTTGAGAACTTCCATAATATATTATAACTTGTCCACTTGTGGTTTCAACTTGTGTTCTTATGGAACTTCTGGAACAACTTCTATCATTTATTTCACTGGATAAATGTATCATTTAAATCAGGTTGTTTTTCATCAAGGTAAAATCAGCTTTTACTATGTTTATATTAAAAAAACCTGGTCTGGATTCAAGTTATTGTGGTGTTGTTGCAAGTTATTGTCCTAGGTCTCATCAGCCGTTTCTGTCAAAAACAATTAAGAAATTTGCTTTGAATCAACGGATGTTTCATGTTTCCATCAAATGAGGAATTAAAAACAGATGCAGGAATGTCCCCTGAAGGATGTGCTTGTTTCATAGTTGCAGCATTTGTGCCATAAGTTATGATTGTTGTAACAGTTTATTGTACGGCATTAGTTGTAGAGTTCTGAGTAAAATGTCCTCAAGAGCTAGCCTTAGATCAGCCACAATGTGGTTGCTTAGTATTAGATTAAAATGTGGAATTTATTGCTGTCTAAAGTTTGTTCAGCTTCCTCAGTTGCAGTGTTAAGAAATAAACTGAAGACATAGTTACTTAATGTGGCTTATGCATCTTCTGAGAAATAATGAGAAGGAAAGAATACTAACAACAATAATTCAAATAAAATGAATTACAAAAAAGTAATGCCACTAACGTGTATTGTAAAATATCAAATTTTAATAATCAAGAAGAATCACAAAAAAAAAAATATTATTTGGATATAAGAGATGATGAACACAGCTGACCTGACATCTGGTAAAAAGAAGATTAGCAACAGGTACATGATTGAAACGTAGTGCATCCATGAATGCAGTTGTACCACAACTATCGACCATGTCACCTGCATATGAGCATCGATTCAACAGCAGCTCCAACACCTCCAAGTGACCATGCAAACCTGATCGATTAATATAAAACTAAAATTACTCTATCACAATTTTTTTAGTCCATTTTATTCACAAAAAAGTGAAAGAGTCAGCCTAGCAATAAATGCTTATCTAGGGTTGACTCCCATAAAACAATAAATAACAAAATATAGACATATATTATTAGAATGAATTTGTCTCTTAAATTGACCATTTACAAAATTTCTAACAACCAACCCTTCACAAAAACAATGTAAATATTAACTTCATCATCAACGATAACAAACAATCTTACATGCAGTATGCAGAGGTGTTCTCTTGTTTCTTGTTTGATTGGCAGCTAACATGGGATTACAATTGAGCAAGTACTTCACAATTTCTACATTGTTCTCCCTACATACACATATCCATTCATAAAATAAACTTGTGAAGATTTATTCAATTTAATGCTAATTAATCAAAATGTAAATATTTATATACTTTGTAAATATTTAATTGACAAACACACATACAACACACTACATATTAATGTGTAGAATAATATGGTACAACCTTACAGTTAACAAGTGTCAAAGTTATAAATAAAAAACTTCACGAACTAATTTCTTGCAATTTTGTTTTAATCTTTTAGAGCAACAACAAACATACATGGTTGATTGGAACAACTATTTGATTGAAAACATGCACGAATATTAGATATTTGTGCTAGAAATTTTTTTGCAAACAAAACTGTATTTACTATCTTAAACATGTTTTTGATATCACTAGTGAAAGATAATTTAAGTAACTAACGAGAACATTGAAAACATTTAAGTCAATCAATGAAATAGTGAAAAAAGAATGGCCAAAAATGAAATTATAAAAATAAGAAAGAACTTATATTACTAAAAACTAGGTTTTTTAAAATTAAAGATAAAAAGAAAGAATAAAATTCATAATGTTTTTCACATATCAAGTCGACCTGACAGCAAGATGTAGGCAGTTCCATCCATCTTTGTTGACCAGCTGCAAGTTACTTCCATGCTCCACCAGCCTCTCAACAATCTTCAGTTCGTTTTTTGTGCATGCTAACATCAGCGGTGTCCTATCAACAATTACTTAATTAATTATTAATTAATATATAAATAATAAAACATCAAAATATATAACTGAAGAAAGACTCAGGTTAATTTTGAATCTAAAAAATTAAATGAAAAGCATTTTGATTTACGAACCAATCACCTCTTTTCAACGAGTTGACGTCAACATTTTCTTCCAAGAGGTATTCAACGCACTGCAACTTGCAATGAACGACGGCCTCGTGCAATGGCGACTTGCCGATCTGATTTTTCTTTTCTAATACGGCTGGACCAAACTTTTCTTTGCACCACTGAAGTTTCAGTACATCGCCATTTTTACAGGCCTGGATCGCGGCGGTCTCGCTCAATTTCGGCATTATGACCTTAAAAAGAGGCTTCACTTCAAACTACTAATAACTAATTTATTAGCAGTAATTAGATAATTTTTTAATTAGCATCATATCACGGAATAACAATATATAAATCAATTAGTAGTCATGTCAGTCCCGTACTTAATTCATAAAACAAGATCGACCTTTTTAATGATTTTAATTAAATTTATACATAAAGTAGCTCACAAAATAGCATCAAAACCACTTGATAACATTTTCGTATTAATTCGGTTCTGATTTGTTGATTTGTTTTGAAATTACATTACTATATTTTTGTATAAGTTCACTTTTCTATCTTATAATCCAAGTACTGTTGTCATGGAGATATATAAGCTATGTCAACAAAATTAAAATGTTGCCTTTTCAAAATTTGTTCAACTTTCTTTTTTTAAATGTAAAGTATTTTTTTAAACTAACTCATTTTATAATTTTAATAAGTATCAAATATTATCATTATAACATAAAGCCGAACTCGAGGACACGGAATAATAAAATAAACTAAGAACAAGAAAAAAGAATTTTTCAGCATATGGTTTGGTAAATTTGGTCGCGTAGATTGAAAAGTTCAAGTTTTGTGGTTTGAATTTCGACGTTATGGTAAAAGAAATTTTACATTCAAATATTTCGTTTTAAAATTTTCATGGTGTACCAACTACATGTGTTTCCTAACTGCCTAGGAGCTGATAGGAGTGCCAGCATTTCTCCTTATTATTGGGACGATGTATGTTATTTGTATTAATATTAAAATTAAATTAATCAAACTGTTATACTTATCTTTATATTAATAACTTTACTGTTATCAAAATAAACGTATTATCACAACTTTTATGAGCAACCTTTATATATTTGTTTGTTTATTTATTTGTTTATTTATTTATTCATTCATTTATTTATATAAGCTATTTACCACTGACTGACTAATTCATCACAAGATCTCCAAAACCAGGCATTAGATTGAATTCAAATTTTACATAACAATTCATTTTGGAACATATTAAGACAGAGTTTACATATTAAGACGTAACTCATTAAGAACGGATTTTACTTAGAGAACGTTGTCGTAGTTGTTTCTAAATTTACCGAGATGTTAATTATTGAATTGTCAAATATATATACAAATCTTATTAAATTATTCTAACGATATCAAACATGGTTAAATAATGACAAAACGTGTTTAGCTTGAATTTACATGTTCGGCTTAAGCTGCTGCGTTATTTATTAGCCCACTGATGGACAATGCCTTAAAATGTGTGAGCAAGTATAGTGTCTTGAGCAATTGAGAAGTCAATGGCACATACACATGCAATGTTGTACGTCCGCACACAGTCGGCGCTTCTTAACATGCATGATATTTGCACGAGCACACAGAACACAAATTATTTCTTAATTAGTTCTCATAGATGTAAACAACACACAGTGTATGTGAACACATGTGAATTCTCTCCATGCATATCCCATGCATTGCGTATGACTGGTGGGGATCTGCCGCATATCGTGCATTTATTTATCACACGTGGTACTCAAGCCAGATAACCAACTATTTTTTTAAATTTTTGTTAATTTTATAATTCTTTTTTTAATCAAATCGGCAAAACACGAAACTACACAAGAAAGGTCTTGCAGTTGTTTCAGCTAACTTTTCGACCAGTTTTATCACGTTATCTCACTTAATCTTATCACAACTTGATTTTATTTTAGAATTATCAACTTTAAACTAGATGTTGATTAAACTAAACTCGATGTCAATAACTAAATTCCATTTCGATTAATTTCAGTTAAAGAATTTTGATTTTAAATTATTTCAAATGAAAATCAACTCTGTGATTTGCATCATACATTACATTTTATTGATACATTTTCAAAATTAAAATGTAAATAACAAGTTAAAATGAGCTTTCTATTTTAATAACGTATTTTTGAATAACGGCGGAAAAACAAAAGTTCCACACGTACACATACGACTTGGTCAGACCTGGATAAAATTTGCTCACTAGTCAAAGACGCAGCAGAGATCGCCAGATATTTTTGACTTTTAAGCCACTTTAACCTACGACAATAAATTTTCAATGCAGAATTTATAAACGGCAAAACATTATATCACTATAACTATAGCAACGAAGTTTCGCATCCGTAATGGCAAGCTGGCTATTTCTTTTAAACGATATTTAACTAAACATTTTCTGATTTAATGAAGAGTTGATTTCAATTGCTGGCAACATTAACTTGAAAAAGCAACCGCGGGAAAAATTTTTATAAAATCAAAATGGAATTCCGATTCGATTTTTAAGCAATCGAACTTTCGACAACCGTACCATCACTGATAAACACACGTTATAACTGACATTTTCTGTTTTCATCCAACCAAATATTGAAATCAATTTATATTTTAGATATATAAAGGACATATTTATCAAGTGAGCCAAGCATCTTTTTCCTTCTACTTTGTTTTTGAACTGTTTTGAGTGTTGATCGTATAAAATTTAAAATCATAACGTTTGATGATATCAAATATTGGAACTATTCAATCGCTTGCTGGGAGCTCGCCGAAAATTTTGAAAACTTGAAACAAAGTTGAAAATAGTTTGAAACATTAAAAATATTGAAACTACCTAATTGTTCCAAGGGTGCCCATGGGAAATTAGTGTACATACGTGTATTGAATTTGTCATGAGCCATATGTACGGAGTTTTGGCACAAAATGAAATTTTGATTAGATTGAACCTAATATTAAATAGAAGCGAGAAGCTTTGGAATACGTTCGAACGAAGCTGCTTGCACCGAGATAAAAAAATAATTAATTTTCTGGCAGGGGAATAGTTGCATCGTTTCGAAATTGTTTCTCCGTTCCAAGAAATATTTTCGGAATAATTGCATTATTGCATGTTGTTGTTTGTTCAATTATTCATCAATGTTAAAATTTCATATTTTCTCGTGAGCACACAAGCGCTAATATTTTTTAGCTCGTGAAGTATGAACCATCAACCACATGGAGTAAAAAGTACCAAAAGAACACTTCTTAGTAACAATTTTGTTATAAAAATTTAATTAATAAATTAACAAGGCTTCAAAAGTTATTTGTTGAATGCAAGACAGCAGTTTATTTTAACGTCTTTCCATTTAATTTTTTAGCAACTATAAAAACATAAAAGACAAATTGTATCATTACTTTAAGAAATAAGAATTAAAAAAATAAATATGAAATGCTATAAATTGGAAATAGAAAAAGTATGATATTTATTACTTGCTTTAGAAGTTTAAGTAAGATAATTTGTCTGGAATACGAAATGTTCAATGTTCGACTGCATATTTTTGTGTATTTCATGAATCTTGCACACTAAATAAGTTAAAAGGACACGAGGTGTTTGTATCACTCGAAAGAGTTGGTTTCACTGAGTTAAAGAGGTGTTTATTATTCCTTCTTGTTTTCCAGCGTTTTCGGTTTTAACATTCAAAATGTGGTAGTCGTTCGTGCTGAAATTTCTGATGTGGAATCTATCTTTATGTATTGATATATAAGTATTTCAACAGTGTAACAAGATTGCTAGCACCAGCTGGAGGAAAAATACAAATATTGCCAAAATTTTGATAATATAATATTTTAATAACTTTATTATATTTATTCAACAAGGATTATGAAAAAAATTCTACCAAAGAAATAAAAAAGTTATTTGAAGAATTGGAAGAACTTTTATATTCTGATCAAACAAGTAAATTCCAAGAGAACAAAAACAATCTTTACGTTGAGTGTCGAGACTGGCTAGAACTTTTTCCACATTTTCGGTACGCAGATATATATTTTAACTTTCTCTTATTAAAACATTTTTTGAGTTTTAGCCACAGAAGTGAATGCAAGTTGTTTTAATTTGCTTTAGAATCACAGGGCATAGTTTGGGAGCTACTAATGAACTGGGCTATTCGGTGCACTCCTCACGTGATGTGCCAGATGAATCGGTGCTTCAGTTTGAAATTAATGATGAAAATCATTTGACTGATGCACGAGATTATGATTTTTTTAATATTTCGACAAATGACAAGTTGAGGTATTTACTATTCACGCTACAAAATTTTTGTTCAATTCAAATGATTGTAATAGGTTAACTAAGATTTTGATATCATTTGACAAAGGTACAATTCTCTGACAATTTTTGGTTCCAAAATAACATTAAACCCTCCATTATTATCAAATTTGAATGAGAACAGTGGATGGTCTGCCGTTGATGGCATCAATCGCGGCATCAAGTATGACGGGAAGTTGTTAGCTCTAGGTGTTGATGAAATTTTATATGCAGAGGGAAATTATGAAGAGGTGATCGTTCTTGATTATAAAGACAGGTCTTATTTTCATATCTCTTGATACGTTTAATTTTAACTAAATGAAATTATTTTTAAATATAATTTTACTATTTCTGTTTGTTGAAAGAATTTTTTTGTCTGATGCTAGTCGACGTCATTCAGTATCTTGTTCAGAATGTTTTCAATATTTTATCAACTGCGTGTTCCTTACACTCTACAAACAGTTTTTCAAATGAAATTTTCAGGAAGAGAGATTCAAAGAAAAGTTTACTTTTGTTGTTATCTGCAGCAGTTTTTTCTTCATCGCTGTCAGGATCATCGCCACCAACGACACTTTCCCATGAGATGATTGCTTACGACGTGCTTTCAGAACTCTGGAATAATGTTTGATTATATTGTTTCTGTTTATTTTTAATGCTTAAATTTCAGAAGACTTTAAAATGTAATTTTATTTTTTGATTAACTGAAGAAATTTATGCGTCGTTCAGCTGTTTAAAGAAAAATATCCCGATGCTTCGGCATAATAATTGATAAGTCCAATCATTATTAAGTCCAGGCGAAAAGAATGTGACTTAGTTACTTCAAAGTGTAGAGCAATGAGATTTGAAAATTGGAGAGTAAACATCGGACTGAGTTTAAAAATCATGAAGTTGAAATTTTATTGAACGTTGTTATAAATGAGAATTCGGGATGGAAATGGGAATGACACAAGAAATCGGATGGTAATTGGTAACAAATTGCAATTCCTACTCATCTCTATCTTTTTTCCTTTAGTGATATGAGTCCATGGATGGGAAGTCTCCGAACAGTTTACTGCTATTTATAAATAACGCAGCAGTAGTGGTTTAGGAGTAAGCCGTGTTGTGTTAATTTTACGTGGTGGCATTTGAATAAAATTTTTCGAATTAATTTTTTCTTTACAGGTAGCAAGAACTTGTTCCATTATTTCTCATGTGACGCTTAAAATCATTAACACAGGCATGTAATAATATAATTTAAAGTTAAAACCTAATTGGGACATAAATTTTTATGAAAATTAATTTTTTTGTAATATTTTTAAAATGGCCATTCAATTATAATAAACAACGCACTTCTCAAAACTTGATAAATAGCAAAAGGTCTGCGCAATTTGAAATGCCCAAAACATGCAAGAAAGTTAACGTTGTTTGTTCAAAGGAGAAATTGCATGGGTGTCTGATAAAGATGTTTTTGTGCGCTAAGTTTTTATTTGCATACGCGCTCCTAGAACAATCCTGTCCTTATTGACATTAATTTGTATTTTAATTATTCGAACCTAATGCTTTTTTGTTTAGCTCATGAATGTTGTGATTAGTTTTTGTCGTTTGGTTTTTTTAACGAATCTCATGTGGAAAATAAATTGTGACCCAAATGACCATCCATGCCTCTCTCACAGTTATTTTAACTGTTATGTCAATTTAATACAGCGGTTCTCAACCTTCTAAATGCTGCGACTCATGGTGTGGCAACCCCCAACAAAAAAATTATGTTCGCTTATAAGCTTAAGCAACCATAATTAATTAATCCAGAAAGCTTTCAAACTTTGTTTCAACAAATTTTTATTAAATTTGTAACATGCAAGGCATAATACGATGAAAATAAAGGAATAAATATAGAAAGTATTAGTTACATTTTGTAGAAGTAAAATAAAGTAATATAAAAAATTGTTGGTGATAATATGTAGGTAAAATGACAATATAAATTATTTATAAATGGTAATATAACTGAAAATATAATGATGGTGAGAAAATGAAAATTTAAAATAAAGATAAAGGTGATTTAGAATGAAAAATAATTTTTAAACACGAGGTGGTTGATTTAAATTGAGGTAAATGAAACAATATACTATTGAATTAATAGAAGAAAATATAACAATATAAAAAGGTTGAGCATTCACGATAAATATAGGTACTTTTTTGATTTGTATAACCGACGTATGAGAGTTTGAGGTGTTTTTTAAAATTATTAGCAGCTAGCGAGTATTAAAAAATGAATGTTATCAATATTTTACATAAATGATTGCGTTTCATAAATTATTATAAAGTTCGACAAAATCTTTTATTTTGTTCCAGAAAAATTTCAAAATTAACAGTCAGTATGAAAAATTTATTGAATTTCCCAACTCAAAATGAACAAAATTTTTATTGCAGGCACGCATAATCTACTTTTAAAAAGTTCTGAAAAATTATACAATAACGCATTAAAAGAGTGACAAAAATCAATGCTCCTGGTGGCCCTAGATGACTCCTGGCAAGTGATCATTCGATCTCCAACGGGGTGGCGACACACCGGTTGAGCGAGAACCGCTGATTTCGTACAATATTCATTTGATTGTAGGCTGCATTGTAGTATTTATTCGATTGATTATAAATCAATTTTATAAGTGATTAATTTTTAAATATTTTAAATTGATTAGTTTCAAGCAAACAGAAAAAACTGTTGAATGACTTAAACTTTAAACAGCACCCTTCAATACAAAACTCAAGGCAAGCTTCTGGCAATAAAAGTGTTCACGATAAGGTAATTTTTCAATACATTTTCCATTTTAAATATAAATGGCACAAATAAGACAACTGCTGCGTTTGTTGGATCTTATTTGTATTTTATTCTCTAATTGAATGCATACTCTAACCGGTGGTTAATTATTTATAGATTTTCCGCCAAACATCTGCATTAAGAGGAAAAATTTTGCCAGCACGTGTTCCAGCAGCCAGGTCGACTGACCATGCATTAATAGTTGCTGGTACTTCACTTCAAAAAAAGTTGCACAGTTTTAACAAGTGTGAAAATATTTTGTTTTTGTTTATTTATTTTTTTTAAATAATCAAATTTTAAATATTTGAAATTTGTTATTGAAAAATTATGTTCTTTCATAAAGGGATCACGGCACGTCTTCTTCATCGACATCAGCGTCATTGTCGTCATCATCTTCCAGAAGACCAACGGGTTGCTCACAACGTGAAACAGACCGACTGACTAATAGATCACATCAACGACATAAGAAAGTGCAGATCCATTTAAATTTGTTTCATTTATGTCTATCCATTTCCGCACAAGTATCGAGTTTTAACAATGGTGTTTATTTTTTTAAGCTCCATTCTGAGGAATTATCGCATGTAGAGAAGGCATCAAAAGAGCATCGCATGGCCACAATAGTCGAGAACAACCTGCTGACATTCACTGCTCACAACATTGACAGCTCTTCTGCTGGTGGATTGGTGAATGAGAGCTCATTTGATGTGAAAAATAGTCAAAATAATTCTTTCACTGACTCTGTTATTTCAAAAAATCTTTTTAAGCATTCTAATAGGTCTAATACAGATATCAATATTAATACTAAGATGTTCATTGCCGATAAGAACAGCGAGTGCAGAAACAATGCATTAAACATTTGCAACAAAGCTTCTTCCATCATTTCATCGACCGATGAAACGAATGATACTTTGATTCTAAGCCATGTGAGCCATATTTTGTTTTTTATGTAAAAAAATTGTTTTGTTCTAAAATATTTTAGAAAAAAATTTTTTATTTGTTTTTTTTTATTACTTCACTCTAAGTTAAAAATTTTAAAAGGGTTTTAACGAAAGATGATGTATTTTGAACTGGATAGCTGTTTAAGGTTTATTATGCAGTTCAAAATTTCTAAATTAACACAGGGTGTTTTGCAATCATCTAGCTCTTCATCGAATGATTCTGATAAAAATGACAGCGTAAAGACCAGATATATACCAAAAAAGCTGCATAATTCAATTCAAAAGTCTTCAAATGACAGCCAGAATAACTCTCGCCATATTTATATTAAGCTACCACAGCTTGGAAACATCATAAAAACAAAACTGCACTCAGAAGACGCACGCGTCTCACAGAAGGCACGAGAGCTCTTGCAGCGGCAGTACCAACTTCACGTACAGGAACATTCCAAATTCATGCAGCCTCTCAAACCGCACGACAACAATGACAAAACAGCAAATGGGCCAACCGTTCATGGCGGCAGACCGAGAACCATGCAAACTCTGGTAATGGCATATACATATTTTACATTCTTTATATATATTACAATCCTATTTTTCCCATATTTGAATGAATGTTTATTAATATTTTATTGTAAATTTTAGAACAGCTAAATAAAAATTAAAAAATAAAAATCCAATCCAGTTTATTAGTTCGTTTTGTATAATGCAATTCCTGCGACACGAACGTTTGACGAAATGACAAGTCATTTTGATATTTTTATTGACTGCCATGTTCATATAGTTCAATCTTGGCTTCAAATTTTTTTATTTGTTGTTTGGCTTTCGAAAGACATATGCATTTTTTTCGGTCTGTATTAATTATACAATAATTTATTTGAGTAAATTAGTTGAAAAAATTTTCTGCTACCATTTCATTTCGATTTATAAATTAGTATCATTTGATTAATGTTTATTTGTCTTGCAAGCGTTTCACTTTCCAAAGTTCATTTCAAATTTTAAAAATTTCAGCAAAGTTGATAGTGAGCAATAACTATTTATAAATTGTAATAAGTGTTACTGCTTATTTAGGAGCGGATGGAGAGAAAGTCTCAGAAAAGTGGTAAATCAAAGACTCTGATCATCGTCCCATGCAACTTCATGATTGCCACCAGATCATTACAAACAAACAAAGATGCGGCAAATCTGGTGAACCAACCGAAATATGTGAGAAAAATTAAACCTCAATCGTCCAATCAGTTTCTTCAATCAAGCCACCGAGATGAAGAATTGCTCCTACCTTGCATTGAAAACAACAACCATTCCCACCTTCAGCACCAACAAGTAGCACAACTCCATTCACCAGAGAACATGCACCGTGGCTTTCATGAGCTATCTCGAAGCCAGCATCGCAACGAAAGGCTTCCAGTCAATAAACATTTTAAAAAGTCAGACTATCTTACTACTCAAGATGAAAATCTACGTGACTTTGGAGCCATTCATGATATTAGGTTGAGAGCAAATGCTTACATTAGCAAACCATTTTTTTCGAGCCGTCAGAATCTCGATATTTCCGGTGCAAATCATCTAAGTATGTTTGCTATTTTATAACTTAGTTTAATTTTGCGCAAAACTTACTTTTTTAGTTTATATAAAATCTTTTCAAAACGTAAATTATTTATTTTTACCTCAGATAAGCCTCGACTTGTAGAAACGAGTAAAAAAAATAATATGTCTAATTTACTGGAACCTCTCAAAGGTACTCCACATGTCATCTTCGTTTTTATGTTTTATCAACTCATTTTTTTATGAAACTGTTTGCAGATTATTTTTCTCTAAGATGTTCTTTGATACAAATATTTAAAAATGAGCCCATTGTAAAGTTCTCATAAGTCTTTAGCTCTGTTATATTTATTTGTTTGTTTTAATTATTTTCATATTTTACTATTGAAAAATAGCAAAACTCAACATAGATTTATGGTAATATTTAATTTGTATTCAGTTGGTCGCCAAATGTCGTATGTTAGCGACCTGTCCTTCCAACATCTGGAAAGTAAGTTGGCTGCTGTCCGTTAAACTCATAAATTCGCTTATCATATTTGCAACCATTCGCAACATCATATTATCCTTTCTCTTTTGATGTTAATATTTTTTAATCGCACGTAATGTTTACATAGTTACTAAATCTACACTATTCAAAACATTTGGCAACTTTTTGAATTTTTGTAATGCATTTAGTGAGGTTTGAAATCTAAAATGATTCTATGATTGATAGGAACAAGCGGCAAGTTCAACGAGCCGAAATCAATAACCGGCAAGAGTTATTCAATCAGGTAGAGACACTGTCTGATACTCAAGTTTTTTATTACGCCACTTTTTTTACAAAAAAAATTGTTTTTTTTGTTTTCAATCGCTAGAAAATTTGTGTTGTATATTAAGCAGCGGTATCGAGCGACTTTCGTTATTAAAACTAACAATATTTTAAATTTCATGGAATCGTGGATTAAAATAACACAAGATAATTTATTAGGTTTGAAATTTTGAGTATTGCATTTGATCAGCGAAACTTGAAATACCGTTTTTGAAAAAAAAAATGAGCTATCTCATTTAAGAATCTCACTCGTGCTAAGCCGTTTCAAATTATTTATTCCTTATATTATTGCCAGCCATTTTATATTAACTAATTAACTATTTATTGATTTAACTTTTGAGTTCCTTGCGTACTATGGAATGACATATGGCATAATTTATTTTACTGCACAAATGTTCTTTCAAAGCCAATTCCATCATGTTAATTATAGATCTTTTGATTTCATTTAACCTGTTTGTTACATTTATGTTTTTTCGGTGTTTGTTGTTTCTATTTGTTCTTGACAAATTTAAAAAAAAATTTTCCAATGGTTATATTTTTGTTTTTTATTGCTTTGAAGCAAAAGATACCACCCGGATTTTTGTTTGAATTAATTCTTCAAAATTGTTAACTTGTTTATTAAAAAATACACTCATTAATTTGAAAATAAATAAAAATAGGTAAGCCTTGAAATATATCTATGTGACCTACAAAAAAATGGTTACGTTACAAAACGTTAAAATTTTATTGAAATTCATTGAAATTGAAAGTAATCTTTTTTTTGTAGAAAATTATTTTGAAATTATTTTCGGGGTCATCATTTATAAGAAAATGTTACGACGAGTTCTTCACGCTGCGTTGTTCTAATGGTTGCACCGTTTATTGGGCAGCCTGTTCAGCTTGCGATTGAGAATACAACGGCATTCCTTCTTCATCCCACTGAATGAATTTGGTTGGTTTTATTTTATCAACGGGCGGAACAAATTGAGGACCAGCAAATCTATCCTTTCTTTCGCCGTATTCTCTTTTATCTTTTTGGCGTTCATACTTGCTAAACATTTCTATTTTCGCCTGTTCAAAAAATCAAGTCACTAATGACTATTTTCAAATTTTAAACTCAAGTTCAATTTTATTTACCGGGGCTCCGGCAAACTTTGTTTGAATAATGTCAACTCTGCAATTGAATTAAAATACATTAAGCATTTTTTAACGTAGCATTGCTTTTAATAAAATAACAATTATTCTATTTTGCATTCTAGTATTATTTAACAAACGAACACTCACTCTTCTCCTGGTTGGATCCTTTTCAAACCTCCTTTCCTGTTGAAATATTTATCAGCAAGAATCAAGGCAATTTTGTCAAATTTAAGAATAGTTATTTTGACTCTAACCCTACTTTATTGGCTTGTCTTGCTTTTTCTGCAAGCTCCATAAGCTGTTACGGCGTTTAAAATAATAACATTAGCAATAATTTTAAAATATTCATGGTAATCAGTGACGAGTCTAGTGGGGAAAGCCGTTGTGAGTACTTTTTAAATGGAAGTCAGAAAAAAGATTGCTTTATGTGTAAAATCGTCCAAAAATTGAACGCGGCAAGCAAAAATAGGTCGTCAGACACACTATCACTCACAAATAAAAAACTCTCCGGTGAAAGTTTTAGCCTTCCTCATAAAAATTTAAACATTATCAAATTTTTAGGCCTCCCCGTCAAAGTTTTCTAGATCCGCCACTGATGATAATGTACACACTTACGTCAGATTGTTGGGTTTTAAATCTTTTTTCTAGGTCGTATTTTTCTCCTTCCAGTTTGTAAATCATTTTTAAAAGTTCTTTTGCTTTTTCTGTTAATTTACCCGAATCAAAACCGGCAATATCTAGTTTCATGATGCGCTGGCTTAAAATGGCTTTTTTCTCAGCATCCAGTTGCTCTTTTGACTTTTTAGATTCTTTTACTTCCTGTGCAAAATCATCAACATCAGAGGGTTTTCAATAAGTATTATTTAATAATTTTAGTAAATTTTAACCTCTTCAACTTCACTGCCGTCCTCATTTTTCTTTGAAATTACAAAGTTAGGTTTGCCTGGGTTCTTCAGTTTTTCAAATTCAGCAAGTTTTCGAGCTCTTTCCTTTATTGTGTTTTGTTCATCTTCTTCTTTCTTTTTTCTTTTTTCTTCCTGCATGTGAACAAGTTTTTGCCCAATTTTGTCGCAAACGATTTTATGAAAAGGATCTTTATTAAAATATTATAATGAATAAATGTATTTCAAGTTAAATTATAATGAGCTTAAACTTTTTAGGAAATATAATTTAAGTTACTTTTTTTCAACATGAGCAAGCCAAAATTTAGAACATTTATGATTTTTTTGAGATAGTAAATAAGAAAATTTACTGGGAAATTTTGTCATTTATTTTAATCTTTTACATGTTATCTTGTGTGGCTACTATAATATTAGATGACAAAAAATTCAAAAGTACTTCGACGGCTTTTCTTCTTTCATCTTCCGCCGCTCTCTCAGCAGCCATCCTCTTCTCTTCAATGTCTCTTTGTTTTTTTCGCTTTTCCTACGACATAATATTTATTTATTGCCGTTTGTATTTTATAACCATTAATTCAGAACGATGCAAAATTAGTTATTTAATAGAATGATAAGCCACCAACAGCTCTGGCTCTCAGTTCTTGGATCTCTTCTTCCATTCTGTCTCGGTCTCGCTTGTTGGCCTCCAGAAGTTCGACAGATGCCTCGTCCAGGCCATCAGACTTTATTGCTGACGTTGTTTTTTTCTTTGACAAAATTAATTTCAAATTTATTATCTAACAAATGACTTTCTGAATAATTAAATAAAAAATAGTTGAAATGAGTATTTATAGTAAATAGATAACAGAATTAATAACTTTTGGTGCGGGAGCTTTTTTGGGGGGTGGACTGAAAAAAAAATCAAACACTGATTTAGAATTTTATACATAATTAATTAATTATTTAATTAATTAATTAGTTATGGTATAAACATAAAAATTGAAAAAAAAAACAAAGAATAAAATAAAGATGTAGCAAACGTACGTAATTTCATTGTCGCTGTCAATGAATAATAATAATTCATGAATTATGAATATTTAAATTTCGTGCAATTTATTTGTTACATCAAATGCAGATTAATAAACGTGTTCACTGAAACTTTGCAATACGTTAGATCGGCTAAAAGTAGCTCTCCTTGGAAAAAACCAATCAGTTTTGGCGGGAGAATAAAATAGTATTCACTATTATTGTCATTTGAACGAGAAGCACCAAATATGAAAAATTACCAAATGAAAAAAATAAAAATTATGTTAATAATTACCAAAAATTGTTTAAAAAATTAATTTAATTTTTACCGTTTATGATTTTTATTTGAATTTATAATTCTTACCTTTCCTCGTCTGATGACATTTTTCAAATTTCTTGATGACTGTTAATTAAATTAATTTCGAGATAATTAATTCAATAAGAACTAATTATAGCCCAGTTTTAATAATTTATTTAAGTGCATAAATATACAATTTCGTTATTAAAGCGAAATAAAATCATTTAATTTAATTAATCCAATGAAGAAAATTTATTAATAAACTGGAAAAAGCACCAACCAAACGAAAAAATAAAATAAAAACGAAAGAGTTGTGGACTCGGTAGCACTAATGAATATGAACGTTTACACTAGGATTAATAATAACAAAATCTGCAACCCAGTATGGAAGTATTAATGAATGTATAAATGGAAGAGGAGAGATGTCGAGGAATATGAGGGTAAAGAAAGAACAAAAGATAGTGATAAAAAGAAAGTGCAAAGAGAGCAATGGATTGCGTCGAACGAAGTTTTTTTTAGTGGCTTCATTGTTAACAAACAACATTCATTTATTCATTCCTTCATCTATTCATTCCTTCATTCATTTATTTATTTCTTCATTCATTCAATCAGTCAGTCATTCTTTGTTCGCATGTTTTTATTTCTAATATTTTCTTATACAACTCATATGCTTTTTAAAGATTAATTTTTAATCAATATAAATTATCATTTTAATCCTCCATGCACTGCACTATAATTTTTGATGACTTATATTTTTTTGCTCGTACAAAACCTAGGAGTATTTTAAATAAATAAAATTATTTCGTTGAGAATGATGAACATGACGATGACGCCTGCAAACAAACACCGCCTGTAAAACCAAGTTAATTTGGAGTGAAGGATTGAACAAAGGAATCAGTGAACAAACCCACAAGAAATATAAAAAATAAACAAAATCTCTCTATATATATATGATATATGTCTACTAAACGTATATATATATATATATATATATATATAATATATTATATGTATATTATAAGTATATACCTATTTATTTATATATACCGTGTTTATATATCAAATGCTATGGAAAATTGACAACCAATCCGATCGTTCAGTAGGATCCAGACTTTGGAGTGAATATATTTTTCATTTTTGAAATAAATATTCATCAGCTCATTTTTATTTAATGTAAAGGCAGCAGCCAACCGAGCCAACGACTCACGCTAGCATTCAACCCAGGCGTCTTTTTATTATTTAATATTAACCGGCTGGACATTAAGAAAGAAAGAATGAAAATAAGTTAGATAGATGCAGATAGCAAAGAGAGAGAGAGAGAGAGAGAGGAAGAGAGAGAGAGGAAGAGAGAGTGCTTGTTTGCTTGTTGAATATCAAGACTGATACACAGGGTGGCCTATAATGATCTTGCATGATGGGTCAGTATTTGTTGTTGTTGCGGCTGTTGTTGCTGTTGTCATAGTTCTTTTTTGTAGTTTTTATTATGTATTATTTTATATTTAAGAATTCGAAGAGCGAGATCTCCAGTGGCAAACTTCCCCTTGCATCGCAATAATTTCATTTGCTTTCTGAAGAGATCAAGTCCAGTGTTGTTCACTTCAGCAAAATGGACCTCCGTCATTAAAAAAATCCTTCTTCAATAATAACGAACACGAACAAAAATTCAATTTGTGCTTAACGTATATGCCTATATACATGCATACATACATGCATACATACATGCATGCATACATACATGCATACATACATGCATACATACATGCATGCATGCATACATACATACATACATATATACATACATACATACATACATACATACATACATACATACATACATACATACATACATACATACATACATACATACATACATACATACATACATACATACATACATACATACATACATACATACATACATACATACATACATACATACATACATACATGCATACATAGATACATATATCAGCTCTTCATCATGATATAACTTAATCGTCTGTGTAGCGCTGATGAAAATCTTTATTATATTCAGCGCTATATAAATTTCAATAATGGTAATAATATTACATACGTACGTACGTACATGCATGCATATACGCAAACACCTACACTCAAACCCTTGTACAACATATATTTACTGAAAATATTTATAAACAAATAAATGAATTGAATGCTGTGTGTGTTTGTGTGTGTGTTTGTGTGTGTGTGGTGTGTTTGTGTGTGTGGTGTGTTTGTGTGTGTGTTCAATGCATAAATAAACACAAAGCTGTGCAGTATATAATGCGTGCAATTTTCATAGACGATGGAAAGTTTTGTACTCTGAAGCTCCAGCAATGATGTTAGTTGTAAGGTGGTTGGGTTGAATATTTATTTGATTTGTGAAGACCTCGCTGATAGTTTGTTAATTAGCTTGCAAGAAATTCTCCTCGTTAGCAATTTTACTTAAAATAGGATGGTTTATGTAAATGGAGTGTTTAATATTTCCATAATTACTATGATCGTATCAACAAAGAGTATACATTAATTTACTAGAAGGATTATTATTTTGAGATTTCTATAACATTTAGCAGCCGATAATACTAAGCGCACAACAAGGCTGTAATAATTTAGAATTATAATTATGAATAGCATAACATGAGATGTCTTTACTCTGTTAACTCCGTCAGTAGGAGTGCCACGTCTCGTGCAGTTACGAGAGGGCCTGGTTCGAATACTGTCTGTCTCAAACTCAGTGGATGCGCGTGCATAGTGCGCATGTGTGAATAAAATAAAATGAATAAAAATGAATCAAATAAAATGAAATAAAATAAAATAAATAAAAAAATGAACTAGTCTTTAAATGCAACGATGCCCGTGTCTGGCGGTGACAGGGGGCGGCAGGTCGTCACACATTAAAATATTATTGTTCTTGTGCTCTTCGACTTTGCTTATTATTTTCATACTATTGTTAAATTTATATTTCCACTTTCACAGAAGCATCAAAACATCAAAACACTCGAGATGCTTACGGTACGGTTTGATGCATATTCATCTAATCAGATACATTCCACATACCGAGAGAGAGAGAGAGAGAGAGAGAGAGAGAGAGAGAGGAGAGAGAGAGAGAGAGAAATATAATTAATATAATTAACAATTAACAAGAGTGAGAGAGAGAGAAAAATATAATTTACAATTAACATTCACATCTAGAAGATCTGTGATTACTTTTAATTTGTTTGTTTGTTTGTTTGCTTGTTCTAATTTAACGGCTTTGAAGCTCCCATAATAGTGCTATGGTGGCTGGTGCTATCATATTCTGTATATTTTATAAATATTGTCAGTTAAATCAACACTTATTATCATCTCCAATCATTCATCAATTTGTTAGTCTATTTATTTTGTTTCTAGTATGATTATCCTTAAGAATGTCAAAAGCCATCACCATCAACAGGGAAAATCCCAACCAAGCCCGTCTAAGCACTGACGCAGTTTGACGAGCTTATCTTATAAACTTCTCTTTTTAAACCCTTAGTGTTATAATATTCTTCATGCACATGCTTACATATTTACATATACCTATATACCACACAAACACACACACGTGTGTGTGTATGTTTATGTGTGTATGAGTGTGTATGAGTGTGTGTGTGAGAGTGTGTATGTTGAACGTAAGTAAATGTGATGTTATAATAGGATGAGTATTAATTAATTTTTTTTTTACATCAGCACTGTTTTTCAGGGTATTTCGCTTGTTATCATTGACGGATCTAATGATGGATCGACAAGATATTATCATTATCATCACATCATCGTCATCATTGCCATTACGTTATTTTTATTATTTATCGTCATCATTATAACGCAAATTGCTATTCTATAAATGTTATTATTATAAATAACATTTACAATATTAATAATAACAACAATAATAAAAAATATCCGACTTCCGGCACAAATTTTTGGCTCAGGTTTCGACTGCCAGAATTTTTTTTTAACTTTTGAATAAAAGTTTTATCTAAATATCACTTCTAAAAGAAAAATACTGTTAAAAACACTTACAAATCAGTCAACGTAATTGCTTTTCTTAACAAAAATAACTTTAGGTTTGTTTTCATAATAATAATAATATAAACATTTGTGAAGCGCCCATTCGCCCAGCTGCTTGAGAGGCCCCCGGAGCCCGTGTTAAGAAGATGAGTCTTTAATCCTTTTTTGAAAAGACTTAACGAGGAACATTGTCTTAACTCAGGAGCTAACGCATTCCAGACATACGGAGCAGCGTGACGAAAACCGCGGCCAGCCAGACGGGATCAGGCAACTGGATTGTTTAAGAAACCTCGTATAGATATGTTGGGGATTTTAATAAAAGGGTTTTGAAGGTAAGGACTGCAATTTTTAAGATGATTCGAGCGGAAATTGGAAGCCAATGAAGCATTGGAAAGAGAATGGAAGAACTAACACGAGGAGGTTTATTAAATATCAGTCTAGCAGTTTTATTTTGGATAGTCTGTAGTTTTCTGAGAGATGCACGTGAGGCCCCATACAATAAGGAGTTGCAGTAGTCTAATCTAGAAAGGATCAAACATCTGCAAAGGGCAGCAACAACATCACATGTAATCATATGTCTAATATGTCTTATTGCGCAGAGGTGATAGTTGCAGGATCTGACGATTTCTGATATGTGTTTATCAAAATTTAGATGTCTGTCAAAAGTGACCCCAAGCAACTTGATCGAATCCGAAATAGGCAACACTGAAGAAACATACTGAAGAAAAATTAGGTGGTCTTATTCACATTATTAGAATTTATTTTCAGTATTAAAGATAATATCCTTTCGCTACACATATTTTTTTTCTAAAAAACACGATCTTGAAAAAATAATTTTAGAGCAAAAAATATAAAAAATTTCAAATTCACAACATTTTCAGGAGTTGGATGAAAAATATTCGCCAATCAAAAATTTCCAACTCTGACTCCAACCGACTCCAACACTTTAAAAAATACGAAAGTTCACAATGCAAATAAAAATAATTTATTATAATTTAATAAAATTTAAAAAATGCATATTCATGTAAATAAGTATATGAATGTATATGCATATATAAAAATAATACGTGTAAATGTTGTGGTGCATGCAATGCATTTGTACGTGCGGTAAGATGAATGAATATAGAGCTACAAAAACTAAACCTATCTACCACGGAGATCGTGTTACAAAAACGACCGCAAAAAATTTTTTCCAAAGAAAAATAAAAACTACGAAATAAGTTGAAACAGCTGCACGAGCCCGTCATCATGATCGTTATAAGCGTACATATTCGTTATAAGCGTACACGGTCGATATAAGCAAACAATGAAGATGAGTGAATGTATCAAATTTGATTTACACATGACCAAAGTATCAATCTTCTGCTATCGTACATTTCTCAACAAAAAAAGCATAGATAGATGGTTAGAAATAGAGATATATAGATAGATGCATGGATGGATGGATGGCTAGATAGACTGATGGATAGAATGGTTGTTTGGAAAGATTTTAATGTTTCATCTCAATCCATACATCACTCCTGCAAGTGTTGCTACGAATTAACATACACACACACATACCTACCTTGTTGAGCATACACTTTTTTAAGAAACTGCTGGGTATAAATATAAAAATCTCTCTTTTACACATATGTTCATTTTGGTGTGATGTATATTCAAATATTCAAAAACGAAATATAACATCCATCCATCCATCCATCCATCCATCCATCCATCCATCCATCCATCTATCTATCCATATATGCATTTATCCCCATCCACTCAACATGCTATCTATCCGTCCGTCCATCTGGAAATGTGCAGAAATAACAAGTGTTTTACGTAAAAATAAGTACTAACATAACATTATATTGTACCCAACATATATATACATATTAATATATATATATATATATATATATATATATATATATATATTTACATTATTCTATAAATTCTACCGAATGTTTGGCGTTAATATGTTTGTAGTTCGTTTTTTCGATTTTTTTCACTAAAGTTTTTTGGTGAACGTTTAGTTTATTAAAATTCAAAATAAACTTATTTTTCGAATTCATGCTGCAAATAAGGCCATATAGA